GGTCCTCTTCGGTTCTTCGGCCGATCGCTCTCGATTCGGCACTCTCACATTCAGTTTCCTAAGGGTGGTCTGTCGGTCCGAGCTGCAGTGACGCATGGTGATGCATCGGCTTGCTCAACCTGGGCCTGCTTGACCATCGGCTGAAGAAATAGAACAGGGCTTGGGCCATTCTACTCTTGTGTAGGAAGTGTGTAGGGACCACAAGGGAATGCCATTTCAGGGGCCTTAATCATTAGAATAGGGTTTTACAATACGTATGTAGGGACCCTAAACCACAAACCCTAGACTCTAAACCCTAAACTATCTCCTAACCTGAATGCCTTTGGGCGATATCCCTATGCGGGCCTGAGCCGCTCTGGGGCTTGATTTTTCCCAACCCCGACCAATGTACCCCGCATTGCTGTGGCTAGTCGGGTGGCAAAAAACCCGAAACCCTAAACCCTAAACCCTAAACCGAGTTTCGTTAGAGGCCGAGCCTCTGGCCCTTGGAGATCTTGGATCTTGCGGACCCCGTGCGCCTCCCAGAGGGGCAGACAAGTCTGAGTTTCGGAAGATCCACGGCAATCCACGGTTCAGGTTTTCGGGTTTAGGGTTTAGGGACTGTGTGGAGCCCTAAGGAACAGATGCGGGCGGTGTACGATGTTCTCTGGGAGTCGCCATTGGCACTGGAGTACCTCTTTGATCATTCCACCTTCCTGCCGGGCGCAGGCGGGTGCCCAAGCTCGTGTGCCTTTCAGAGCCCAGAACCTCCTTCTTTGTCGCCTCTTGTCATGACACTCCTTGTAGGCTTCTTAGGCCACCCAGAAACGATTAGGCTTTGGGTTCTGAAAAATAGAATGAAAAAATGTGTAGCCTCTGGCCGCCTTTACACGCAAGGCATCATCGACGTCAATCCCAGCCAGTACATGGCTTGCGGCCAGGCGAAACTTGTGTGATGCAACGGCAATCCATGTACACATGGCAACTTCTCCAAAGCATGGCCCCTTTTGGGGTCCTTATAGTACGGCGGCCCCTAACAATTAGGGTACCCAAAACCCTACCATACTGTAGAGAACTGACCACACGATGGCGCAATTCGGAGGAGCTCGCTGGCCATCAACTGTTTGGCTTCTGCTTTGGCTTCAGCGGTGCGTCTGCCCAGACGAGAGCGGGGCATTCCAGAACCCAACTCCATGCCAGCATGCATGGGCTGCTTTTTTCTTCACTCTGACATTTTGTATATATATATATATATGTGTGTGTGTACAGCTAGTGGTTTTGGCCTCTATATATATACACGCGTATACATACATACATACATACATACATACATACATACATACATACATACATACATACATACATACATACATACATACACACACATACATACATACATACACATAAAAAACAGGAATATAAACCAGCATGTATATCTCTATATACACATGACATATTCATATTTATGTATTCTGTCTCAAGGCACGCCGAACGACTTGCTGCCCAAGGCGGGCTCTGAATTTCGAAAGGAAGGTCAGGGTCCCTTGAGAGAAACCACTGCAGAGACTCTGTGTTTCAGAGGCGATGGGCAAGTGCGCGTACGCAAAAGGCTCCAAAAACTGCACCGTCTTTGTAGGGTTTAAGGGTTTAGGGTTCTTCTCACAGATGTGGAGGGCATGTGAATGCAAGGTGACGACGGCAAGATTCTGGACACACTTAGCAGGCCTGAGGCGAGCCCCCGAGGGAGAGAAGCATGGTCAGTTTGCCCTCAATCTGAAGAGGCCATGCAGGGTGCAGTTGCCAGCAGTTGCATCCCGAATCTTGGTGGGCCTGGTCTTACCCAGGTCGTCACTGTCCAAGAGCTGGACTCATGGAGCCCATACTCGTTGCTTGATTTCATCGCAACGACGAAAGGGGAAGATGGAAGGCCCTGAGCTGAGGGTTCACGATTTGGGTGGCCGAGTGCCTGAGCTTCGAAACTTGGGAAGACTCGAAAGGCCCAAATACCATGCTCTCATTGACACCGGGGCCCTCATCACCGGAGTGACCAACCGCGAGGTCTTGGCATCGGCGGTGTGGCGAAAGCTCTATGAGATATTTTTGTTCGCGTTTGTACGGGGATCTTCGAGGTGGCCTCCTACCTGCTGCAAAAGGGCTTAGATGGACTGGAGGGCGTCGCTTTGGGCTCAGCTTTGTACAATGCCCAATCTCGAGCATAGGCTTGGCCGGTCTCTAGGACCCGTCTGGGACCACCTGCCAACTCCCCTCAAGCATTCCAGGTGTTCTTGAACCATTCGGACGAGCGCATGGTGCTTCTGCGTCTGCGTCCTAGAGCAGATATATATCTATATATACACTTTTACATATATACTTTTTTTACACACACACACACACACATATATATATATATGTATACATATGTGTATATTACTGCTTTGGGATAGTGGCAGCATTGTCTGAGTCAGCTCGGCAGCCTCCACTCAGGAGACGGCAAAGAAGTGTCGCTGTCGCAGTGCGAAGCTCGGAGCTCCACTTGGAGGACTACAAACCTTAATGTATTATATGTAATCCTAATTGTTGGTGCTAAACCATGAGTATCCTTAGCTAAATAATTAGCAAATATAGCTAGAAGTGGGGCTATAAGCAGGCTAACTATCGTTACAACTGGCGATAACCTTATTGTTTGTAATCCTACTTCTGGCTACCCATGAACCTTCAAGCAGGCCGGTTGAATGAGATTTTGCCTACTCTGCCATTCCAGGTGTGGCTTGAGTTGGGACGCGCCCTAAGCCGATTTCTATGGGAAGGTCGCACGCCGGCATTGTGAGCAATAAGTATGCCCTATGTATGCTGAATGGCTGCGCTGAGGACAGCAGGTTCTCTTTCTACGATCATGTTCACACCACAGGCTGGGGCGGCATGCTATGGTTGTTGAAATGCAGAGAATGCGATTGCAGCTTCTTGTCGCAATAAGGCTTTAAAGACTGCCTAAGGTTTTGGAATCAAAGAGGGGCAGTTTAGGGAAATGGCCGTGACAGGCATGGACATCAAGCAGCCCGTGAAATGCACTGCTCGTGGCTTGGGTGCCATGTGGTCAGACCTGCAGGTGGAGCGTCTGAGCTTTCATTCTTTAGGGCCACCCTAAACTGCCCTAAACCCTTAACCCTTAAACCCTAAACCCTAAGCCCTAAGCCCTAAACTGAAGAGACTCTGAGACGGTGTGTGCCTCGCCTGGCTTGTCCAAACCCTAAACTGCCCCAAGCCGTATAAACCCTAGGCCTGCCTCACTCTGAGCAAAGACATGACCTTCCGCGACTACGCCCAAGGCGCCGAGCCTTGCCCTGCTCGTAGACTCCAGCAGGATACAACCACGAGAGAGCTATCTTTTGTTGATGCTGTTTGCTTTTGTTAGCGTGAGTCCTCTTTTCCGTTGCCCTGGTTTTTTTATTCAAACTGGGTTCGGACCCCCTCTCCCTTCTTAAATCTGCTTTTGGATGCTTGAATCGCCCGAAGGCCTAGAGGCCTAGAGTCCTTTTGCTGCTTAGTTTTTTCCAAAGAGGGCTTCCTACAGGTTGGTTTTTTTTATACAGGGTTTATAGGAGTTATGATGTCTGTCACTTTGCACAAAATCGTCCCTCGGCCCGTTCTTGTGTTCTTGGAGGAATCTTGGGAATCTGGCTGGGAGTTGTTTAGGGTTGAGGGTTTAGGGTTTAGGGTTCGTAGGGTGACAGTTGCCTTCCTCGTAGGAAAGTACCTAAACCAGGGGGACCAGATGAACCTTCAAAGGGTTTACGGTCTTCATACACCTTCATATAGGCATATAGGGACTATAGTAGTTGAGGGTATATGGCCCCAATTTTTTTGGGTTCATTTGGTCACCAAGAATCAGCCTCTGAAAAGGGAGGAACTCTGGGACCCTGAGTCGAAGTCAATGTTGCCCGGGCATCGGCAATTCAAGAGAAGCGCCTGTTGGAGCGCACACTCAACGCTACTCACCTATGCAATGTGGCAAAGGAGCATCTTCGGGTACGGATTGCTAGTATTGCAAGTGCATCAGCATGTAACATGTATCAGAGGCATATGGTTGCTGCTGTGTTGCGCACGTGCCGTCAGCAATTGCAGACGGACATGGGCAAATGAGCAGCTTCCATGTTGGATGTCGCGTCCGCGTGCTTCGCGGCCGTCATTTTGCAGACTTTCAAGAAGGTGATGAAGGCATAGTTCTCGACATAAACGTGGAGTGCCGCAACTGCACTGTGGTCTTCGACAGCAGCCAGGACAGAGTCAAGGTTGCTCTCAAGCATCTCCGGGTAATTTCGCAGCGTGCGGACGGAGGACGCAGCAGCGCCCCTCAAGCGAATGGTGTGGAGTCAAGTTCGCCCAAAGCACTTGCCAGGCAGATTGCACAAGAAATGAGACTGGCAGACGCGGCGAGCGAGAAGGCGCTGGAAGCTCAAGCAGAGGATCTTCGATCGCGTTTGGCTGCCGCCGTGCATCGTGCCGATGCAGCGGAGGTGTGGGTGGAAAAGCAGCAGCTTGGGGATACTTTGAAATATTCTATTATTTTTGGGTACTATTTTATCTAAGAAACTAAGAAACAGCTAGAGTTGATTTCTTTGCTAGGGTTCCAAGTGCAGTATAGGCAGCACGAATTGGCTGCCAAAGCCAAAAGCATTGCCGGGCTGACCGAGCAGTTGCAAGTATCGCGTGCTGAATGTTTGCAAGCCGACCTTGCCGTGGCAAGGATGGAGGTGCAAAATGAGAAGTATGAGAACTGCCAAAGTGAGTTGGAGCAGGCACAGCTGCTTTGCGACCAGCAGGTTGCCGAGATGACGGAGGTGCGGACACGCAATCGACAGCTCGAAATGCAAGGCCAAAGTGAGTTGGAGCAGGCACAGCTGCTTTGCGACCAGCAGGTTGCCGAGATGACGGAGGTGCGGACACGCAATCGACAGCTCGAAATGCAAGGCCAAAGTGAGTTGGAGCAGGCACAGCTGCTTTGCGACCAGCAGGGTGCCGAGATGGCGGAGGTGCAGACACGCAATCGACAGCTCGAACTGCAAGTTTTAGAGCTGCAGAACACCTGCAGCCAACAAGCTCATGAGCTGGTCGTGCAACGCGAGTCCCTGCAAAAGCTGTATGCTGAGGAGGCGCAAGTCGAAGTGGAAAGAATCCAGGAGTTGCGCGACACGGCGTGCGCATCGGCTCATCACCATGCCACCTCGAAGACCGAGGAATTGACAAGGGCTGAGGTGCAGCTGGACAAGCAGCAGCTGGAATTGGTTGCAAAGGCCAATGACGTCGCCCGGTTGAGGGAAGAGTTGCATGTGTCACACAATGAAAGATCACAGCTGGATTTGCATCTTTTGCGGGTGGAGGCCCGTGAAGAGCAAACGGTCAACGAGTTGGAAGAAGTAAGTCAGCTATGTAGACAACGTGGAGCCATGGCTTCGAATTTTGAGGCACAGCTTGACTTGTCTGAGTTGAAGCTGGATGAACTGCAGAAGAGCTGCAGCCATCAGTTGCAAGAGCTGTCAGCGCAGCGTCGGCTGACATCCTCGTTGCAACTCCAGCTGGAGGACGAACTGCGACAGCACCGTGCGTCGCCACCGATAGAGTTGCTTGAGGTTACGCAAGCCCAAGCCCTTGAAATTCAGCAACTGCGTGCCGAGGTGGGTGTGTCGGTTTCCCACGCGGCAGCGCAAAATGAGGTCAGGGCAGAGGCCGAGGCCGAGGCTTGCCAGATGCTCCGAGGCGAACTGGCTGAAGAGAAGGCACGTGGACTCCTAACAGCCACCCCGGCAGCTGCAAGTTCGCCTTTGGCCACTGCTGCCCTTGCCGGCGCCGCAGTCACTGCAGACGGGCACAAACTGTTCGAGGCTGCGGCACAAGGAGATGTGGCACTGGCATCGGCACTTGAGAAGCTGCCGATGTCAGAGTTCATGGCGGTTCGGAGCGCAGATGGCTCCACACTCCTTCATGCTGCTGCGGCGGGGGGCTCCCTGCCCGCAGCTTTGGCTGCGCTCCTCGCTGGTGGTGCGCGCCGGCGATGCGAACAAGACCTTCAGAGAGATTTGCTCCGACACGAGCACCTGTCCTTCGTCAATGCGCGCGACTGCGAGCAGCGATCTGCACTTCTTTGCCATTGCCAGTCGGCCAACACATGCGCTGCCAGTGCGGCAACGCTGCTGGAAAGTCAGGCCAACCCGTTCTTAGAGGACGGCCACGGCTGCACACCTTTCCTGGCTTGTGCCAGCCGAGGAAATTGTGAGGTCATGAAGCTGTTGCTCCGTGCGACGGGCGGATCTGTTCTCAGAGACTCGGATGAGAACGGCCGGACCGCCCTACATTGCGCAACTTTGAAGGGCAACGCTGATGCCGTGCGGTTGCTTCTGCAGGTGAGCGCCGATGTTGAGCTGCCAGATGCAGCCGGCCGCCGAGCAGTGGAGCTTGCAGAAGCGGGTGGCCATGAAGACATCGTTAAGCTGTTGGAGCCGGCGGAGGAGGAGCCGCAAGAGATTCCTGCTGTTGGTTTGCAGTCGTGGTTGCCGCGTGAAGAAAACGCAGACGAGGAAGAACCACATCAAGATTCAAGGCCGGTGAAACCCAATGCTCCGGCCACTCCGACGAGTCCAACGAGTCCAGACAAATATGCCGAGGAGCCAGGCGATGAGTGGTAAGGTTCCCTCCTCGCCTCGCTTCCCACGTAAAAGTCATGACACCGTGCAGGGACGAAGCACCGAGACTCAAGTGCTCATCAGCGAAAGAAAGCAAGTGCAGCGACAAACCAACCAAGTGCGCATGTGCGAATCAGAGAAAGAAAGCTCGATTTCTTTTCATGGTGTGTCGGCAGCTGACATTGCTCTCTCGTTCATGCTTCTCCCTGCGCGAAGAGGAGCCTACAGAATGCGAGGAGTTGGCCCACAGCTCAATCACGACCTCTCTCTCATATGCGGATTCGTATTGTTCTGCTCTAAGGACAGGGTCAATGCATCGACATCCTGCTAATTCCTGAAGTTGCGCCGCGTTCTCGGGCGTCATCCCAAAGTTCGGCACGACAACGCAGAATGGGGCTGGGTGACGCTGCACAGTGGCACAGAGGTCGCTCGTGAACAAAGTCCTGGCAAAGGCAGAAGGCAGCTTCCCTAAACCCTAAACCCTAAACCCTAAACCCTAAACCCTAAACCCTAAACCCCAATGTCGAGGCTCGAGATGCCTCCACTCGTTGCGAGGTCTGGATGCATCGCAGCGCTTGAGTCGTATGGACTCCCTTCGGGCTGCCAAAGCTTGGGAGCAGCAGATTCTGGTATCCTCCTGAAGTGTTGAAGCTTGTTGGAGATGACTGCACATCTGGGGTTTAGGGTTTAGGGATTAGGGTTTAGGGATTCTTGTGCAATCCAGGTTGACATCATCGCCTGGCTGACCCTCAACGGCCTCGTCAAGGACGCTGCTGTGCGATGATGGGGCCCCTAAACCCTAAACCCTAAACCCTAAACCCTAAACCCTAAACCCTAAACCCTAAACCCAGGGCGTCTCACGCCGTGGAAATCTCGGAGAGGACTTGAACAAGAGCCACCTGCTGTGCCAGCGCGAAGCTTGGGACCCTAAACCCTAAACCCTATAAACCCTATAAACCCTATAAGCCCTATAAGCCCTATCAACCCTAAACCCTATAAACCCTATACACCCTAAACCCTGTCACGGCAGCTCTCTGATGCCCTTGCTTTGCACACGCCGCGCGGCGAGGCAGAATGGCAGAAACCTCTGGAGACAGCCAGCTCCTTACACTGCTTGGAGGTTCATAAGGGTAGTGATAAGTAGTTATAAGTTACACTGCTTGGAGGTTCATACGGGTAGCTATAAGTACGGTTTAGGGCTTAGGGTTTAAGACCTCACCTGGAGGTTCAGGTAGCGATAAGTAGGGTTAAAGTAAGGCAACTATAGTTGTAACTGGTTATGCCCTTTTTTCGGGTTTTTAGGGTACTTATGACCCTACTTATAACGCTCCGTAGCTCGTTGAACAGTATAGGATGGCAGCTCAAGTGGGACGGAGGTACGCCACAGCCCACTTGGAAAGTGCGCCGCCCCTGTCCCAGATTGAAGGAGTGGTCAAAGAGCGGATTGGGCACTTGCTTGGAGGTTCATGGGTTGTTATAAGTGGGGGTAAAAGTAGGGTAACTAAACATATAACTGGTTCTCACCTTATTTAGGATACTTATATAACCCTACTTGTAACAACCAATGAACCTTCAAGTTGGGTGTCCCCGAGGTCTGATGTGCACAAGTGGCTCCTGGATGCCAAGACGAAAACTTGCCTGGACTGCTTGCTTCCTCCTCAGATTTCCCCCCCCCCCCCCCCCCCCCCCTTGGGTTTAGGGTTTAGGGTTTAGGGTTTAGGGTTCCGCCTCAGATTCCCTCCCATCGCCAAGCCTTTGCTGCGAAGCAATCGTGAATGATCTCGATCCACGTCATTGCGGTTCTAGGACAGTAAGTCTTGTAAAGCGCCCCTCTTCGCAGTCAGTACATCTGAGGCGGAACAGAATTGACTTCACCGTTTCGAATGCAGCGGCCACCTCAAAAAATCCGTGTGTTTGCGGCGGTTTTGCTTGAGGATTCCCCAGGTTGCTGTGCGCATGTTCGCGGCAAGGTACCCGGTACTCCACCGCAGTCGTTGAAAGAGAAGCTTACTCAGGACCGGCTCAGCCCGGGCAAGCCCTGGACGTGTGCGTTCATGCGTGGTGTAATCAAAACGTTTAAGTTTATGAAAAATGAGTGTGCAATCTGCACAGTTTCCTGTTTCCAATCCTAATCCTTGGAGCGAGACGACGACAACTAATGATCCTAGCTACACACGCCGGGAGGCCTTTTCCTTTGACTGCTCGCTGACTTTTTGCCTTGTTGGGGTCGCCCTTCTCCTCCTCCGGCTTCCTCTTCGGAGGGTGCAAAGTCGTCCTCCTCGTCCCTCCTCTTCTGAAGTTTACCACGGCAAGGCTTCGCAATAGGTGCCGCTTCACCTGCCGCACTTTTATGCAGTCCCTGGTACGTCTGGGGGTTTCCTATATGTAGAACCCCTTTCGGGGCCCCCCTTGAAAGAATCCCAGAAAGCTTGGGTCGAAAGCCAAAACTGAGATCTGCTAAGAGGCCCGTTTATATTCGGGCCGCAGGCCCCCCGGGGCCTCGGGCGGAGATGTCTAGTGGCAAAGTGCGCGTCGCACTTGGGTGTAAGACAGGAATTCGACGCAATACGCCGTGCCGACCTCAGTGTGATTCTGGATGATATAAGGAATATAAGAGGGGTACGAGAACCCCAAACCCTAAACCCTATTATGGACTGTTAGTAATTTGCATCACCGGGAACATCCCAGTGTATACTAGGATTTATCACTTTATAAGCTTAGGGTTCCTCGAATTTCATATTAAAGGAGCTAAAAGTTAAACCCTAAACCCTAAACCCTAAGCCCTAAGCCCTAAACCCTAAACCCTAAACCCCCCCCCCCCCCCCAGGTTAAACATGTTTACACAAATGCGGCGGGCGCCTCGAGGTGATGGCCACGTCTGGGGCGCGAGTGCGGTCCACCAGGCACCCTGAGACTGCAGCTGTTGCGATTTGTTTAAGCCGTGTTCCTCAAGGGTTTAGGGTTTCAGGGTTTCAGGGTTCAGCGTTTAGGGTTTAGGGTTTAGGGCGACTGGCAGGCTTGACGTTTCGAAGGCCTGTGAGAGAGAGAGAGAGAGAGAGGGTTTAGGGCGACTGTTAAAAATGTGTTCCTAACAAAACTCAGCAAATGGGGGGGGTGTACGATATGACATAGGGGTACCGTATTGGGGTCCTTATCATAAGAGGGATCCTGCCATTTGGGGATCTACATTGGGGGCCCCCTATGATCGTAAACCCGCAAATCAACAAGCTCCTACCTGAGGTTGAGGCACAATTCCAAGCGATATTGGCACCATTGTCGCGCTAGCCTCAGCATGGCAGGTGTACCGGCAGGATGTTCCCACGCCACATGGGAGGTTTCCGACATTAGGGGGTACCTTTTATTGGGGCAATTCAAGGGAATCCTGCCATTTGGGTTTTTTTAGGGGTCCCGAATTTTCGTAAACCCCCACATGCTCTTGAACGCAACCTGAAAGGTCGGACAAGGAGGCAGAAAGCGAAAGTCCAGAGGGCAGACTTGAGCTAGGGGGGGAGCAGGCTCGCAGTGCCTTCCGTTCAACTTCCTGCACTCATGTGTTGCTTGCCAGCTAGAATCTAGAACATTCGACCTGTCGGCTGGACATGATATTCTACATACAAGCAGCCGGAAGTGGCCGTATCAGTTTCTACGCCGACTGCCCAGTCTTGCGACAAAACTTGCAAAATCAGTGAGTCGCTATCCCGAATCTGAAAACTAAGGGTCAGGACCGCGAGCGCTCGCACGCACAAATCAGTGTGTGTGTGGGTATGTATTTTTGCAAAGACGTTGCGCATGCTCGAGCGTCGTCATGCGTCGTCATGGTTGCTCAGTTGCTGGCCGATCAAGGTGTTCACTTGCAACACCAGCAGTCTGACTCTTTTGCCCTCACGTCCCCTTGAGGTCTCTAAACCCTAAACTCTAAACCCTAAACCCTAAACATTTCAGACCAGTGTAGACGGCTCACTTCAGAAGGTGGGTGGAAATTTTCGCGTTGTGACCAGGTGCAAGAGCAAGAACAGGAGCAAGAGCAGGATGGATGCCTGCACAGTGAGACAACGAGACAACTGGGTGGTTCTGAGTAGGGGAATGAGGGAATCAGTACCCTATCGAATCCCTTAAGGGGTATAAAGGGTTTTTAATAGGGCCCTAAATTGACTCGTTCCCTACTAAGAGCCAGGGGAACAACGGGGGTCATTGGCATGCTTGGGGAACTGTCTTGCCTGGTTGCAGGAACAGGAGCAAGAGCAAGAGCAAGAGGAGGAGATGGAGATAGAGCAAGAGCAGGAACAGGTTCCAGAGGCGTGGCGAATTGCACTAACCAGCACAGGCATGTCCAACAGCATGTTCATGCGATGTGAGTTTTTCTTGCAGATCTGCAGGCTCCCGCCCGGCTCCAATATAACCGAGATGATGAGGCACCGAAGCCGCCCGTGCCTCAGTACGCGAAGCAGCTAATCCCTAAACCCTATAAACCCTAAACCCTGAAAACCCTGCACCCAGGTGGAACCTTGAGGGCTTGACGAAAGACGCGGCATCCTCCGGACTTCCTTTCTATCCTTTGACAGATTTCGCACCGACCTCAATCCATGACAGATTCGTGAATGAGGTCATGTTTTGGGATGTTCCACCTTATACTAGCAGTCCTTAATAGGGATCATAGTACCCCGTATTCTAGTCCCCATTATGGAGTTGTTCGTATAAGGGGGGAACGTCCCAATGAACAGGTCATGTTTAGTTGAGAAAGGGCTTCCAGACTTAAGTGGCTGACCTGTCCACCATCCTTTACCTCAGGCAGTCAACAAGGGAATTCTTGGCCAGAAGGCGGAACCCTTGAAAGGCCGGACTCTTGGACACGAAGCATCCTCTTACGACCTTGCGCTCCCTTATAGCGCCTTCTTGCCGATCTTCGATACTGAAGGATTGCCTGAGTTCATCTGGCCAGCATCTTACGAGTTAAGGAAAGTCATGCAAACTGAGCTTTTGAATGGCATCATTTTGCATCGCGGTCCGAGGCTCAGTGACAACTACTATCGCAGGCGCAAATTCTGACATGGTTACCGACTGGTTACCGACAACCTGTGCTTGCATGCCAAGTTTTGGCTGGCTTCAAGAGTCTGTTTGATGCCGAAGCTTTTCTGCTGTGAGTTTAATTAATAAACTGACGAGACTCGAGACTGTTATGCACAGCCTCCTTCAAGTAGGTTAGGACAATAGTGGCAGAGAAATGTTTGAAGGCTCAGCCGACATCTTAAAGCAACGATGGCCTCAGCAAGTCACAAATACATCGCAGCACCGGCAACACCAGGATCACCGCGCCACCACCAGCGACGCGGCCACCAGTGCACCGCCCCTGTCGCCGCCACCATTTCCAAGACCACCACAGAGACGACCACCTCGAATGATATTAGCCGCAGGACAAGAGCAGCAACAAGTTCAGCGCGGCATCTGTCATCAACGCAAAGTGCTAGTTTGACATGCAATCTGAATATTTGAGTGCTCCCACCAAGCAGGCAGCGATCACATCTGGAACATCACCAGCGCAAATGTCGACACACGGGACACCGCCAGCAACACCATGCCCCTGACCGAGAACGAATTCAGCGAAGACTTTGCAGTTTCGGGGAGCCCACCCCAAATTTGCAGGGATCTTCAGAGAGTGTATGTGGTTGACCACAGCGCATCAAGTTGTGCTGCGACAGATCATGGCGCCTGTCCTCCGCACCGGACCCAGTGTTAGAGCTGTTAGAGATCCGGCGCCTACGGAACAGCTGCATGCCGCAGCGTGAACGAAAGAACACAGCGTGTCACTGCCTGATAACTTGGACCTACGTGTTTGTATGTTGTAGGTGCGTGAGTATTATGGGCGGTACGTGTTCCGTCCAGGTGCGCCGCCTCAAGAACGTGATTTGCTTTCTTGAATGGGTGCTTGCCTGAGATCTTCTCTACTCGAGGAGTCGTGGTCGATTCGTCGGCCACTTTCTGGAAGGATGCTAAATGTTAGAGCTTCGGCTGAGTCAAGACCGTCGGTGCACCGCGTGTGCATGAGAAGTCCTGGCCAGTTGCGCCTGGCGGGAGGAGTTTGCATGGCAATCCCGAGCAACCCCTGACACCCTCAGGTGTTTTAGGTGTCATTGCGCTTTCTTCATGGCATTGGCGGCAAGATTCTTCTCTCCCTGGCGCACAATTGCCACGCACCACGAACATTCGAGTCCAATGATACTGTGCTGCATGTGCTGCCTGAATCAGGTGCCTGATGCTGCTTCCTTGGAGACACTCGCCAGGGCCTTGTGATTTCCCCGCGCCTGCTGCTGGCCGAGTTCCATGGGCATCGCAACTGGCAGGAAAGCCTTGTGTTTGCTGGGTGCAGATCGGATCCATAGACCGGGAGTGGAGTGCTTTAGTGTTTGAGATGCGAGCAGCACTCCAGTTCGACAATTGCTCCAGCGGGCGCGCGTTCCCTGAAACTGAGTGAAGCAGTGAAGCCTGGATGGCCTGTTAGCATTCAGCAGCCAACTTTTTTTTACGGCATCCTAGTTGGAAGCCAGACGCCGTCCCAACCCACTCACATGAATATGCGCCTGTAGCTCCTCCATCAAGCCCAGTCTGGTACTTGGAGCCACCTCTCAATGAAGCTGCATGCGAGACATCTGCAGCCAAAAGGCTGTGACGTGGCAATTGACACAGCGTCAGCGCCAGCGATTGGAAGAGGCAGGGCGGACATAGCCGGATGCATGTGGACACAGGTCGTCGATAGCTTGCAGATGATGCAGACAGCAAAGCATGCGCATTCCATATTTCAAGGTCTACCGACTGTACGACCAGGACGGGAGAAACTGCATGTGGTGTGGGGCTGTAAAGCCTAGCCCCTAAAACCGAAATATGAACATGAAACGCCGAAGTGGGCAACAACGCCACACACAGCAGGATGGCGACGGAAAAATCAAGGGCCATGAGCGCAGCGACTCAGATTCTTAGATGTCTCTGGCTTAAGATGAGCCGTTCGTGCCAAGTTGTCGGTACCCTGTCAGGCTGCGTGCTTTCTTTCAAGCCCTGGATTTGGATGAGGAACCTGACTTGAGAGTAGGCATTCCTTCAGTGTTCTTCTGCTGGCAAACCTGCGCTGTTTCGACTCATCCAGGAAGGTGAGGACATCCAGCTTTCGCCTTAGACGACTACATGTGCTCTCACCCAGCATATTTACGACCAGCGTTTGACCCAGCATCCTGACACTTGCAGGAAGAGGGAACGAGGGCCCTAAATAATCCCTCAAAGGTTATACATATACAAATATATATTTACATATATGTATATATATATATATACGTATTTATGTACGTATATATAGGGCCTTAATTCCCTCATTCCCTACGAACCAACAGTAAGGAAGAGGCATCATGGGTCCCTGTCGCTGAAGGAGATTCAGGAGGCTGGGGTCTCAGTTGGCTTTGGCCCATCGGCTCCGGCATCCTTACAGCCTCGTCGAAAAGCTTTGCTTGAAGGTTCATGTGTAGTTGTAAGTTCTAAGCACCCAAAGTTAGGCAAAAAAACAGTCCTAAGTAATAGTTACCCTACTTATACAGAAAAAACCACATCATATAAGTACCCCATGCAACTCCAAGTGCGCCTTTGCAGCAGTGGATGTCGGTGGTCCGAGGAGCTCACCCGCGAGACCTTCTACCGCATGCAGAAGGGGCGCTACTTTGTGGCCCTGTCACTTGAGGAGGCAAGACCCCACCGTTTTCTTTTTTACAAGAGCAGCTACTTAAGTTCAACTTGCTGTACATATGAGAGCCAAACAATGACACCCCGAAAGACTCAACCCTTAACATCTTGATGCATAGACAGTGGTTTTTTCTACCCTTAAGATATGGAAGCATGAATGGCCAACAACAATGCATAAGCACTTTTTTGTATACCCTTAAAAACCCTAAACCCTAAACCCTTAAAATCCTTGAAGCATTCGAATGGCCAACTCCAAGAATCTGGCAGGCAGAGCACCTGCGCGCCTCCATGCACCTCCTGCGGAAGAGCTGGCCATCCTGCGGGTTGGCCTTGTTTGGGACCCAGGGAGAGTTGAAGGTCCCCCCCCCCCCCCCCCCCAAAAAAAAAAAACCTAAAAACCGTGAACTCAAGCCGTAAACCCTGAACAATTCCTACACCTTAAACCCTAAACGCCCCTCCTCTTCCCCCCCCCGAACTCCTCACCGGGAGCCCTTTCTCTTGCCCCCAAAAGCTACACGAAAATCATTACCATGCCTATAGGAGTGCTAGAGGCGCTAGGGTGAGCTTGGCATGTTTGATTTTTCAAGGCGCTGCCTCGGGAATTTGGAGTCCATGCTGGACTCCTCCTTGCTGGATGAGCATGGGCCGGTTACAGAGTCTCGCCGGCCTGTGTTGGGAGATGTCTGTCACGCCAAGCAAGACCAGCAGGGACTGATCCAAGCTCCATCAAACCAGTAAGACTCGGCAAAAACTGGCACCCATGATGCACATCTTGGTCCAATGTCTGCAGCTGCTAAACAGATTCTTAAGAAGTTGTGAGATTTGCAAACTGGCTGCGCTTGCGGCCTGCGTGCTCCGCAACCATCCCGGCAGGTCGGCTGAACTTGGCTACCAACTTGAGGTGCAACCTTGAAGGTCTTGCTGGAACTGGCTGGTTCTTTGTAGGGAATGGGGGAATTCGGGCCCCTTGTAATCCCTTAAAAAGTTAGTTATATAGGGCCTTCATTCCCCCACTCCCTACTAAGAACCAGGGAAGCTCATTCGGTTTGCTCGACGTCGGAGTGTTCAGAGCCTCCGACGGACAGGTTCAACTTCTTGGAGGTTCATGGTAGTCATATATGGGGTTATAAGTAGGGTAACTGCAGCATGATAGCTGGTCATCACTGTTTAGCATAGCTTGCATGCGTAGGGTTTCACCTGTGTACGGTTTGCGTTAGGCTCAAGCGTAGAGGTAGCTGTACAGAGTTTTTTAGGTCCGGGAGCTTCGCAAATGGTATGGGTACCCGCACGTGCGGTGGCGGGCACTGCTTTCCTCGCCGCCACAGCCGTGGAAAGAAGTTCGAGCCTTTCGGGGTTCGGCTTTGCTGGGATAGCAAATGCTACAGCCCATGAAGGTCCCCCCCTTCCCACTCCGCCTCTTGTGGAGGAGGATGAAACATCCTACACTTATACCTTTCAAGGACACATGGCGGACTGGTGGGGGGTCCGAGGATTGTTCTCGATCCCGGGTCTTTTCCCTTTCACCCCCGAATGGTTTTTTGTGCTCATGGAGTCGCAAATAAGCAACCAGACCTCATCGGCCGAGGCCACGACTGAGGGCAAACGGGGAGAACGACAGCAGGAGAAGAAGACCAACACGGAGGGAGATTCACACCGACCATGGCTGTTCTCCGCATTTTGGAAGCTGGCGAAACCAATAGTTGATAGGCTCGGTTCACTGGGACTTCTATACTGTGGTACGCTTTGCACTTCCATTGGTCTCGCGGCTAAGTGGGCGTATTGGTTGCTTGTCGGAATAGTTGGGGTATTCCTGCTGCAACTGGCCGTATGGACTTACACCTGGGTGGTGTACCCTACGGTGGTTCACTCCCGAGCCTTGTTGAGATACTGCCGAGGAGAAACACCATGGAGCGAAGTGTCAAGGCTCCTAGGAGACAGACCCTTTCGCCCCAACTGGAGAGGCCCCGCAACCGATGTCGCGTGGACTGCAAACTACGTACAGTCCGAAGTGCGAGGCCGGGGGCCAAACCGCCTCCCGTACGATTTGTTGGTTAGCGATGGGACTGCTATCGCACGCTTGAGGCATGGCACTATTAGGGGACGGACGAATCGCCACGGCTTCGTGTGCGCTGGCGAAGAGGTAAGGTCCTCTTCTCATCGATACTTCAGGAACCTCATCGAAGCCGCAGAATGCAAAGTCCATTTATGCTCCCAGCGGCCTTGTACGGCGATGCAGGAACACCCCTTACATGTTGCCGCTAGCGCTATCGTGCCCCAATCCCAAGAGCTGGATCTCCAAGATCTAGCTGGAAGGGGACCTTGGGCGAGATGCGCCCTTTTAACTTGGTTTTTTGGCCTGCTGTGGTGCAGGTGTTGCCGGCAGGGAACGTGGAGGGTAACTCGTTCTCTTGGCCGGTGCTGTGGGTGGGTGCTATGCTATCGTTCGAGGAGAGGTTCTCTCCCGGAAGATCGGAGCTCCCTGCCTAGACATGACGAGTCCGAAACGGAGTCGGAGGCGGATTGTGAAACTGCATGCCAAGCGGACCAAATAGCCATGGCTCTACCTGGGAAAGACCTGCAGCCCTTGGCGAGCGAGCCTTGTAGGGACGTTGCTCGGGGCAACCCGGAGGTTCTACTAAAGGCAGACGAGGCAGTGAGCTGCCAAGAAGGTCTCCTTGAATGCAATGGGGAAGGGAAAGCCTTCCACTCCTGCGACTACCACAGGGCTCTCTACAGGGGTTCCCAGAAGGGTAGAACTTGCTCTGTTGAAGGATGCCTCCATGCCCCTAGCCACAGTCGCGGGGGAGTTCGGCTCTGTAAGCTCCATGCTGCTAAAGACGAAAAGAAGCCTCGAACAGGAGCTAAGCGGGCTGGTCAGCCTCCTGCTCTGGACAGCTCCCTTCCACAGCCTCCCGATTCTCCTTACCCTCTTCTTCCCCGTACTCAGGGATTCAATGGGGAAAAGGAACTCGAACCGGCGTGTCCCTTTGCCCCTAAGAAGACAGTTCTGTTGAAGGGGATCCTGCAAAGGATTATGGCACAGGAAAGCCCTGTGGATGCCTGCCGGGGCACCTTTATGGATTGTTTTTCCCGCTTGCCAAACGAAGTTGAGTTTCAGGAAGTTATGGGACTGACCAAGGCGTCTGCAGAAGAATATCTGGCTCAGGTAGCCGCCGGTGACCAGCCCCTTGTGGTGGATGCTCTTCAGACTCTGGTGGCGTACCCGGTGGGCGACAACTACTCACGAGACGAGGTGATGGCTATGTTAAGACCCGGAACGCCCGTTAGCGCAGACGCCATCGGAAACGAGGTTCTACCTCCTTTGCCGCCTACTCCCTCCCTGCTTGAGGACTTGAGGGGAAATTCCACCCCCTCCGGTTCAAGGATCACCGGCCCCGTCCGCTTTGCCCCCGAATTGACCGGAAGGAGAGTCGCACCACCGACGATGACTCAAGTACCGGAGACGAGACCCTTCCCAATGGCGGGGGATACTCTTCCCGCACCTTCCCAAGAACTGCCTTTGGCTCAGAGCCTGATGCGGAAAAAGGGACCCAGTGCGGCCAGTCCGATGCACCTGAGTCAGGTCCCCACGCCAGAATGGTTTAGGGCAGGGGCCTACACGAACCCTGTTTCCGGACACCCGGATGACACCACACGAGCCCTTCAAGCCATTGCGAAGGCGGTAGGAGCCAAGGACGAAGCGTCCGCCCAGGAAAGGGGCAAACTCTCGTCAATAGGAAGAACAGAGGAACGTGCCCTGTTCTTAGCTCGCGGCTGCGACTCCCTGTCGGTTCCTCTTGGAGAAGCAACTGTCGGAAAGGAACTATTCCACGCCCTCCGGAACACGGCGACGCAAGATAGGCCCCTTCTTCGCTCTCTCAAGTTTCCCATCAACATCACCAACAGGTTTGCTTTCGGGGTGTGTAGCCTTTGCATCGGGGGAAAGGGCAGCCTGCCCGATTATGCCCTGTGCGTCGGTGATTTCCCTGCGACCTCAGAGGAGGATTTCGACTTTTACTCCACTCCTGGAGATGTCAAGTTGGAGAAGAAGCCTCGCAGTCCTTCCACGCTGACGCTGTGGTTCCGCAACGCCCTCAGACAGGCCTGGTCCCTGGCATGTGTGCTTGGGATTGAACACTATTCCTCCTGGGAAAAAGCGGCAGGTCAACTCCTCAAGTACGGAGAGGAACAATCTCACATGTGGCCTATGCACCTGGTCCTTTCCGTTTGGGAGGAACTCTGGGGTCGCTTCTGCGAAGAGATCCGTGACCTGGAACGTAAGGCGCGACGTGAGATGGCTGAGGACTCTCCTTCATTTGAGCGTCTCAGGTTTTTCTGCACGGCCCCTGGGGCAGATGGCAACCCATGGCTGAGACTCCCCCAGACGTTCGATCTCGATGACTCCCTGGAATATTTCCAAACGGATGTCTTACCGAGGCAGAGACGGGCTCTAGACCGGGCTTGTTGGAATTTGGCTCTCCGTAAGCAACCTCCCCTTCTAGGAGGAAAGGCCGGGGAGGACACTTCCAGCGCCCCGGGCATACCGGGGGCCGCTTCGGCCCCGGGCCCGAAGGTGGGAGCCTCCCCTGACCCTTTAATAGGGAAACCCTTGAGTGGCAAAGAGGTTCAACGGTCCATGGACCATAGACCTAAATGCTCCAAGACGGGAAAGTACCTTTGCTGGGACCATATTTCCAGGAGAGGATGCAAGGCTGCTTCCTGCCCACACTCTCATGAAGGCGGTATTCCCGCTTGGCAGTCGTTGGATTGGTCCATTAAGATGCAACTTCTCCGGAGGGGCGGGCATCCTCAACAACCTAAGCCTAGCCACGCGGGAGATGTCGACAAGCAAATTTCGGCCATCAGGAAAGAGCAGGCCGACAAGCTGGCGGCATCGGTCGCCGAGGGAAAGGCGCGAGCAAAGAACAAGCCCAAGTCGAAGTCTCATCCCTCCCCGAAGGTAGGCTCCCATGGCGATGACGCCAACAAGGAAGACACCCGAGCCGGCTGGGCCAAGCCTCCGCCCGAGCTCGGCAATTTCTGCGCTACGGACATGGAAGCGGGCCTTGACGCCGTCATGAAGGGACAAGGACCGGACTGGACAGCCGACCATGGCCCTAAGCCTTTAAAACACGTCGGGCTCCAAAGCCACACTCCAGAAACCATGGAGCGCAACCGCCTCATGCAAGAGGTGGAGAAGTCAGAGCTTGTGCCCCAGGAGGCGACACTGTTGGGCACATACCTGCGGAATCGCCTTCTCCATGCCCCGCACAGGCCGCCGCAGGCCCAAGATGTTCAACAGGCCCTGGATGACGCTCTCGCAAAAGGCTGCCCCGAATTGGTGGTGGAAGTGGAGGAGTACCTGGCTAAAGTGGGCGATTCCAGCGCGCGCCGCGCACAGCTAACCCCCACTGTTTGGTCTCAGGGCCAGGATCGGCCTGGCTCCGCCACGCTTACCTGGGGGGACCATGCGTGGGAGGTGTTTGACTACGGCGATACGCTGCAGCTCTCCGCGGAACTTAAACTATCCCTACAGCCGTCGTCGCAGCCCCATTCGGACTGGGAGCCACGCCAGTGCCTCGTGCTGCATATCGCCGCCGCGCTGTTGTGGAGTCGCTCCAAACAACTCCCATCCTGGTCCGAGGTGCAGACGCTCGCAAGCCGTATGCGGGGCGAGTTTTACGTTGAGGCCGACAAAGTTTCTGAGGCGCTGGGGGAGCTGCCGCCCTGGGTCACGCGAGCCGAAAGAGACTTGCGGGTTTTTGTCCACGATTTCGTCTATTTTGGACATGACAAGGACTATCGCAGCCTGGCCGCTTTCCCCCCAGAGGAACTCGCATCAGTGGCGGTGCATGTCGTGCGCCTTGACGCCTGGAAGCGTCCCACTGTGGAAGCGCTGACCGGTTGTACCGCTGACACCAGACGTCCACTCGTCGTCTGGCTGCTTGTGTATGACGGCCATATGCGTCTTTTGGTACCTACGTCGAGGACCGTTCCGGCCCCGGCGCGTTCTATCGGGATGCATGGTTGGGAGGTCCATCTGGAGGCAGCCGCCGCCTCGGGCGCTCAGCTGGTTGCTCCAGCTAAATGTCCTCGGTGCGAGGTCAGCGAGCTCCGGCGCACTGGGGTTGCAAACAGTGTGCTCGGCCTTTACCCGCTCGCTTTCTCGGATCCTCAGCGTACCGGGGAAGTTGCTTGGGAGCCCGACTCTCCTAACCCCCCCCATTTCTCGCGTGCGGATCTGGAGGCATTCTTTGCCGGCCAAGAGATGCCACCGGCAGGACAGCCGCTGCACCTTCTGGAGCTCTACGCAGGTGCCGCGCGCGCGTCTATCGCGGTGCGCGACGCCGGCGGGTGGGCTCTGTCCGTCGGCCTAGACCATGGCCATGACCTTCGACGCGCGCGCGATAGGGCCCTTGTTCGCTACGCTCTGGACATCCTGTCCCCCCTGCACGTTCTGCTCTCTTTCCCCTGTCGCGCCTTCTGCGCTTGGGCGCGTCTTAACGCTACCCGCTCCGTAGGACACTCGGCCACCCTTATAGAGGGCCGTCGTCACCTGGCATTTGCCATGTCGGTGGGACGGGCACAGCTGCAGGCGGGGCGACACGTTACTGCGAAGAACCCCTTGACGAGCTCTGCCTGGCGGGAGCCCGAGGCTATTTCCGCTTTGGAAGGCATGCATCGGGTCCGGGTGGACCAGTGCGCAGAGGGTCTCCGGGGCCCGGACGGCCCCCACCTCAAGCCCGTTCTCCTGCGTACATCTTCGGCCTGCGTCGCTGCGGCTTTCTCGTTGCGGCGCGAGGGTGATCACGCGAGTCAGCCGGTGGCAGGCTCGGCCTTGGGGCCCAGCGCCGTGTACCCCGGCATGATGGCATCCCTTCTGGCTGCGGCCGTCTTGGAGGATGGCGGAGGCAAGGGAAGGGGGGGGGGAAGGGCTGCGTTTTCGCGCTGCAAAATAGGGCTCGAAAACCGCTTCGGTCCCAAGCTTGAGGGGGAATTTGGTCATCAAGGGCATGCTCCCCCCAGTGATAGTCCGCCTCGGGACCTGGGAAGTACCAAGGTAGGACGAAGCTCTGAGCCGAGCCCGTACTGTTTGCAACATGGCCCGTTGGCCCCTGACCTAGATCCTCAAGTAAGGGAGGCCGCCCAGTCATACCTCTCCTGCGTGGAAGGGGTAGAGTTCAGCAAAGAGGCTCTGAGCAAGGCCGCTGCGACCGGTACGCAACTCCTCAAAGCCTCAGGGGGCTGGCAGGAGGCAATTCGGGCCATTAAGCGCCTCACCGTTGAAAAACATGGGGACCACTTCGAGTCTCTACATGCGGGTCGCCTTGACGGCCTGGTACCCCAGGCAATATTGCAAAGGGCCAAGGATGTCGCCCTGTGGGGGGTTGATGCCTGCGTCAATCTCCAGCAAAGCAAAAGAGTGAAGTGTGCGCCCCACCCCAGCCTAAAGGCCCACTTGGACGAGGCTGCGCAACAGCTGTGGAAGGACGCCACCAAGGGAAGAGTACTCATTTGCGACGACGAAGAAGGCAGCTGTCTGTTGGAAGGGGTTGTCTCCGTCCCCATGGCAAGGGTACCGAAGATGCTGCCAGATCGCACGGTGTCGGAAAGTGGTCGGGTTGTTTGGGACGCCACTCCTGTGAACCAATTCTGTGGAAAGGAGGACTATCCACCGGCACTCCAACCCCGACACAACGAAGTCGCAAGAGCCATCCTGTGGTGGAAGCTTCGACTCCCTGGCGTGCCCATCCTCCTGTCGAAAAAGGATGTATCCGACGCCTTCAAGTGGGTCCCGGTCAGACTCGAAGACTCCAAATTCTTCGCGTCTGATTTGCCCGGGTCCTACACGGAAAGGAGCTGCGACACTACGCTGGTCTATGGGTTTATGACCTTCGGTTGGAGGGGTGCACCCGGGGAGTACATGGGGTTCGCGTGGGTACTGAAATTGGCCCACGGGGCCCATGGGCCGAGCGACACCCATTGGGAGCTTCCGTCCGTGGCTTTCCACTCGTTCGTTTTGATGGATGACACGGTTCTCATAGAGCCCGACATAGGTTTGAGGCCGTGGGTATCGGTCGAAACTTCCGAGCATGTCACGCGCCAAGGTGGCGCCTAAATCCATCAACCCTGAAAAGGACAAAGTCGAAGGAGCCTTGGAGACTCGAAAGCTGATCTGGGGGCTGATCTATGACACGGAAACGTGCACCCGCAGCCTCCCCGCGGCAAAAATCGAGAAAGCCTTCTACCTGCTCCATCTGCCTGAGTTCGACACAGGAAACACCCAAGTCCCGCTTAAGTTGATGCAAGAACTCAGGGGAAACCAGCAATACTGGCTGGCGGTGTTTCCGGGGCTAGCCCCGTACCTCGGAGCTACCAATGACTTGCTAGGGCCACCGGATGAGAAGGGAATGGCGGTTCCTCGAGGGGACAACCTGGAGGCTGTCTGGGCCGGATTCTGGGAGGCTATTGAGTTGCAACGGCTACTCATTGACAACCAAGGGGTGTGGGAAACAAGGTTCACCCACTCACTGGTCGGGTCACTTTCCCTCTCAGAGTATCTCACCTTCCCCGGGCTCCAGGATTCCGTGGTATGGGCATCGGGAGACGCCACCACCGAAGCCATTGGAGCGGTGGACTGGACGTCCCGCACCGCAGTGGTGGAAAGCGTCAGGGACCTTTGGAACCCTCTGAAGGCTTTCCTGGATGAATCCTCCGGAAGACCCGAGGGGCGCTTCGCCGCCGGGGAAGAAGAGGAAGAGGAGGTCATCATTTCTATTGCAGAGCTGTTAGCAGTCCTCGGCCTTGTCGCGGCGCGTTGGAAAGCCTGGAAAGGCAAAATTGTCATTTACGCAGGAGACAACCAGAATGTCATCAGCTGGTTGGCGTCTCGCAGCGCCAGACCGCCAGCGGCGCGATACCTGCTACAAGTTTTGGCGGCGGCAGAGTCAACTGGACACTTCCGACTGTACGCCGAATACATACGCACGTACCATAACACCGTGGCGGATGACCTGACGCGCAGAGATCCCCAGGAAGTCTTGAGCGAGCACCATCTGACCGCAGCGCCAATGGCGGGTCAACTCCAGGAATTGCTAAACCGAGGGTGGGTACGACGCGCCCTGCTTTGGAGCACCATGGAAGACTCCGACAAAGGAGCCGCCCTGCAACTGTGTCTCCAAAGGAGGCCCCCCGGCCCTAGGGACTACCACCTGGACCAACCTCTTGGCTTGCGGGTTTTTGAGTTGGCTTCTGGGCCTCCGGTGTACCTGCGAGAAGCAACCAAGGCAGGAGGAGAGGGGCACCATGCTCAACTACTGGATCCCTCCTGGTCGGGACCCACCGCTCCCAACGAGAGCACCCAGGACTGCGACGTCATCTGCGGGACATTGGGAAAAGGTAAGGGCTCAATCCAGGATTTTGCCGCTAGGGTTTCCGAGTCCTCATCACAACTCCTAGTTGTAGATTCACTCACCAGCCCGGGACTCAAGGCTCTCCAAGGAACTCTGGGACCTAAGTGGGACTCGAGGCTGGACTTATTGAGTGGTAGGAGTTTTGAAGATCAAGTATGGTGGCGTAGGTGGGTTTTGGTAGCTCGCAAAATTTCGGGAAAAAACCAGACCCCTCTGCTTAACCTGACCCACCCTATCGACGAAGAGCCCGTAACAATGCCCCTGCAGCGATACGACCTTCATTGGAAGGTGCAGGACTCGAAAGCACCGCCGGAAGCCTGGCTCAAGGGTGAACTCAAGTTAGATAGGTCACTTCCCTACCTCAAGAGTGCTACCCCTAAACCCGTAGGTCACCTGAAAGCCCCCAACGGTTCTCGTCAACGCCTTGTATGGGACCCTAGCCGACCCCTTCCTGCTCTGCACCATAATTGCTGGAACCCCCTCTCCGACGACTCCCTTGTCCTTCTAGGCGCTAACGAGAACGGAGTAGGGACCCGAGCCCTGTTACCCCAAGAAGCTGTTAGGTTACTTGGAGGTAGGACCGAGTTACTCCCCAAGCTGCCTCCTGAAGAGCTCGCCAGCCACCTCCTTTTCTCGACTCCCCCCCTTCTGGCCGCGGCAGCAGTTGCGTGGCTCAACCAAGAAGAAGCGGAGCAAACCTGCACGCCCTTGACGCGGGAGGGACCCGAGGATCGTTTCGATCCCGGGGACGCCGCCCGCTGTCGATCGGGCGTGTGCAACCTGCCTTGGGAAGAGCACACCAAGCAAGCTCTCATGTCCTGGCTGGAGCAAAGAGGATATGGAGGCTGGCGCGAGTCCGAGGGTAGAGTGGGCGGAAGCGGAGCCCCGAACCCCGCAAGGGCAAGGGGAAGGGAAAGTCTCCCCGGGCCCAGATTGACCATGCCGTTACCCGCATTTTGCGGCACGAAGGGGCGTGGGAAGGCCCGGAGCAGCTGATTTCCGAAGAGGGCTGGCTCCCAGTGAACGCCCTCCTCGACTTACTGGCCAAGGAGCCCGCCGGGTCACAAGTCGACTTGGGGCTCCCCTTCTTGCAGGAGCTCGAGGCGGCCAATAGCAAGAAGAGGTTCATCTTAAGGCAAGATGAGGCCACCGGCACCTGGCACGCGGCCGCCTGGTCTGGGCATACCCTTCCAGGGGTCGTAGGCCCGGGAGTTCCTCAAGAACCCCCGGAAACCCTCCTGCATGGCACATACAAAGCGAGGGTGCCCTCCATCCAGCTCTCTGGTTTGCTTCCCCTCCGACGAGCCATTCACTTTCAGGATCCGAAATCAACCAGCGGACGCTGGAGATCAGATTTAGAAGTGGCGTGTATAGTGAATACGGCCAAGGCCATTCAGGAGGGATGCACCTTCAGGTTGACTGGAAACAGCATCTGGCTCACCAACCAAGCAGTTCCCCCAAGCTGCATTGAAGCTTATGCCCCATGGACCCTCAACTCTAAAGGTCGATCCGGATGGGCCGCTTCGGCGGAAATCGTTTCCGACAAAGCTCCCCAGTTCCGGGGGCAGGGGCCCTCCTCTCAGCCCTCCACCGGGGAAGCCGAGGGGCGTTTCGCCCCCGGCCCCCGAAAGGGTAAAGAGGAAGCGACGGAACCAGCCAAGCTCGACCTGGCGCGATACCGAGGAGGCGGGGCCCAACCGCTTTGGGGACCGCACCCGGACAGGGACCAAAAGGGCATCCTCGAGGACGTCGTCGAGGTGGCTTGCGCCATTGGAGCAGCCGCACCTCCCGAAGGGGTCGAGGTCGACTTACAGACCTTAGAGCTCCAGGCTCTCCCCGCGCAACCCGAGGAGGAAGAGCTTGACTGGGGAGGCTCCTCTTCCAGCTCTTCTTCCACAGAAGAAGGGAGAGCGGAAGGACGGCCAGTGTCCAAGGCCGCTCGAGGCGCGCGAGAAGATCCCATGGAAGTGGAGAAACTCACGGAAGGCGTAGCAGCATTCCACGTGTCCTCGGGAAATGCCCTCCAGACGGCTGCGTCCGCCCCTGAAGAACTCGCCCCTGAACCCTCCGCCGCCTCGAGCTCAACCGTAAAGTTGGAACAAGGGGCGCCCGGAGCTGCAGAACAAGCAGGGACAGACAGCGGCCTAAAGCTCCAGGCCTGGGCCGACACTTGGTCGCGGGACGGCAAATGCCTTTTGTGCAACGCGTACCTTACCGACGCGCACCTTATGACCGAGAATCACTGCAAGCGGATGCGGCGCCACGTGGCGGACAATCCGGGCCTGGCTCCCGGGTCGCGAGGTAAGAAGGCGGAGGCAGCCCGTAGGCAGGAGGAAGGGAAAACCGGCCCTTCATCTGGTGCCGAGTGGAAGCCAACCCTGAGTCCACTTCCGCGACGGCCCGATCCCACTGAGGAAGAAGCTCGGGCCTTGGTGGCGGCGCAGGTGACGTCTAGCAATCTCGCTCAGGACCTGGCGGCCTTGATGCGGATAGAAGCCGCAATTACCCGTCCGCCTAGCGAGGACCCGCCGGAAGAAGTCAAAGGGGAGGAGCCAGGGAGCCTTTCCGTTGAAGGCGTAAGGGATGTCAAGGAGGAGAAACCCGAGGGCCGTTTCGGCCCCGGGGAGGAATCCTCCGGGTCAACTAGACGACTTGTCTCGAAAAGCGGAGTGAAGATCAACGCGCCCAAGGTTGGCCTCCTGAAAGCTATCGCCTCCGCGGATACCAAGTCTTGGGAGGGACTCCAACGAGCCCTTGAGAGCTCTCCAGGAACCGGAACCGTGAAGTCGCAACTCGTGCAAGATTTGGAGCGAATCGCCGGGCAAAGGAAGAGCGCGTCCCAAGCAGTCACCGCGGAAGTGTTCAAACAGGCGCAGAGGGTTAAGGAGCTCGAGGAAAGGGATACGGAGTATTTAAAGGCCCTGGACGAGCAAGGGGACCAAATGCGTCGCCTTGAACAGGCGAATCCGGTAAAACCCTCCCTCACGGCCAAGCCCCTGCGCTCCGCCCGCTTGGACGCAGCGATCGCGGCCGGAACGCCAATATGGGTGGCTCGTAAGCAAGAGAAGAGCAGACGTCGGGCCCAGCTCCACCGCGCGGAACAGACCGCAGCACTGGCTGGGGAAAGGATTGCCAACGAACCCGAGCCCGGGGAGCCGACGCCGGAGGCTCTAGACGAACGGATGCAAGAGTCCGCGCGCGAGAGTCTTCGGGACTTCCAGAGGCAGCTCGAGAAGTCCGACCCAAAACCGCCCGCAAAGCGCGCGCCTGACTCCCAGCGGCGCAAGAAAATTAAGAAACAGCGCCGAAGGGAGCGAGACTACAGGAGGAAGAATGATGACGCGGACCGAGATTCGAACCACGCCATTGCGCACGTCGCAGAACAAGGTCCTTCCGAAGGGCAGTGTCGTCTCCCCCCCGAGGACCGTTTCGGTCCCGGGGACAGTACTGAGCTTGCTCTGACCAGCTTTCCCTTCCTGGCGAAGGAACCGAAGCTGCCCATGCGAGACTTCTCTTGGGAGATAGGGTTCCTAGAAGGTCTCCTCTTGGGCGGAATCCTTGTCTTGGTCGGGGTGCTTTGCTGTGCTCCTCTCAGACGAGGGGTTGGCGCCAGGAACAGGGTTCGACACCAAGGAACCCAGACCTTGGCCAGCCCTGGAGAAGGACCCGAGCCCATGGACACGGTTAGGCCCCCGGGATTTAAGGCCCCGCCTGAGGATTTCGGCACGCCTTGGCTAGCGGTCAAAAACCCGACCAGGCAGAGGCGAGAGCTGTCCCGCACACCGCTCGATCAGCACGGACCGAAGAGCCAGGCGGCCCCGGCAGTTCTGTTCCGACCCCGGGAGGGGCCGACCGTTGTCTGTGTGACTCCCAAGGGGTCGACCTACCATTCTCAGACGTGCCCGCGTATCTTGTCTCATGAGAGGAAAACAATGCAACCATGCGCCGTGTGCCGACCTGACCAGGTTATGCCGGACCCCTACAGCGACGACGCTCAAGCCCCCTTCCTGGGGAGGGCAAAGGTCTCGATTTGGCTCCAGGACCCACACTTCCACTCTCCTTCCTGCGCCCTCGTTCGCCCCGTGTATCGGCTGGCGCAGCCGTGTAGGGATTGCGGGCCCGAAAGGGACTTCAGGTACTACCCCCAGCTCCCTCGCCGAAACGACGATGCCCAGAGAGACAACAACCATGCAATAGCGCATGTCGGGCTGCCAGAGATTGGCATGGGGCTTATCCTTAGCCTCTGCCTCGCCTGCATGATCTTCCAGGCTTGTGCCCAATCCCTCATGCTTCCTGCCGAGGACCCCGAGGAACGTTTCGTTCCCGGGGGCCTGAATCGGCGCGTCGGAGAAATCGGAGCAAAACGGGTGACGTTCTCTGATCTAGAGACAAAACAGGCCGTTTTTTCGGATGCGTTAGAAGGAAGGGCAAGGCAAAGCCCGGAGGTGGAAGCCGGGTCGCATTCCAGGGAGGCTCCCCTTCTTGGGAGGACCAGCGACGGCCAAGCGGCTAGGAAGCGGCAAGCCCGCGCAGCTCCGACTGGCCCTCCGGTCTCGGTCTGACTTTGAAACTGAAGCACTCCGAGTCTCCCTGGACCGTTTGGCTGAGACCACACGCAAGGCCTACATTGGGCAATTAAGGTGGTGGCAAATCTTTTGCGCCAGGAGGAAAGTGTCATGGCTGCTCACCGGGGCGAATCCGCAGGAAGAAGAAGACGCCATCATCGACTTCATTCTGCATTCGGCCGTGAACGGAGGACGAGCGCCTGGAACAGTGAAAACCAGGTTAGCCGCGCTAAAATCCGCCCACGTGTCGATTGGCCTTCGTGACCCACTCGAGGGCAAGCCAAGGATCCAACTGGCCCTCGCGGGACTCAAAAAGAGATACCAGTTTCCTAAAAGACGGGCACCGGTCACGCCGCAACTCCTGCAGTGGATCCGAGATGAGATGGAACGTGCCATCCTCCTGGATCGTCAAGTTCTGTGGCTGGCCTTGTGCCTTGGGTATTTCTTCCTCCTCCGAGCGTCCGAATTTTTGCCCGTAGGGTATCTCCCTAGTTCCCGCCACCTGAGAGGCTGCGATGTCCTGCTGAAGTTGCAGGGCAAGGTGTGCAACCTCAGTCAGATCCGAAACGCGGACGAAGTCGTGGTACATATCCGCGGGAGTAAGACCGACAAATATAATCGCGGATCGGTCCGGAATCATTTTAAAGGGTCCGGGGTTTTGTGCCCCGTTTTGGCGGCGCAGGAATACTTCCTGACTTTTCCGGACCGTTTCCTTGGTGGCGGAGAGGACGAGAGACCCATTATGCGGTATTCGAACGGAGCGGAAGTAGCCCGCGAGACGCTCCAGGACCTTATCAAACGGGCTGCGCTACATTTCGGTCAAACTGACCAGATAGGGGCGCACTCGCTACGATTCGGAGGAGCATCGGCTTTATGGTCGGCATACCACAACGCAGACCAGCTCAAGCGGTATGGGCGTTGGACATCTGATGTCTTTCATGAGTATATCTGGGATGCTCGCTCAGCCGCGAAAGGCGTAGCAGAAGCTATGGCAACGGCTGACCTCATGCCGACTTGAATACGAAAGACCGAGTGTTGTTTCAGCGCCGGTCGATCGTAATCGCAGTTTTGTACGACTTGTTTTCTCCCTACCCGAGGACTGCTTCAGTCCCGGGTGTAGTGAGGGGGGGGGTGAGCCCAAAAGGGCAAACAACCTTGCAGTGCCCTGCGCGCAAAAAGATCTGCGCACTCGTGCTTCACGTGAGTAGCAAACCGTAGCGTGAAACCTGTTTAGCATAGCTTGCATGCGTAGGGTTTCACCTGTGTACGGTTTGCGTTAGGCTCAAGCGTAGAGGTAGCTGTACAGAGTTTTTTAGGTCCCACCCGCCCGCCCCCGAGCCCAAAAGGGCAAACAACCTTGCAGTGCCCTGCGCGCAAAAAGATCTGCGCACTCGTGCTTCACGTGAGTAGCAAACCGTAGCGTGAAACCCTTACTTAGGGTACTTATAGCACCCTACTTATCTCTATCCATCAACCTCCAAGTCGCCCTAAACCCTAAACCCTAAACCCCAAACCCCAAACCCCAAACCCCAACCCCCAAACCCCAAACCCCAAACCCCAAACCCCAAACCCCAAACCCCAAACCCCAAACCCCAAACCCTAAACCCTAAACCCTAAACCCTAAACCCCCAGCGTTTGGAAGTTGAAAGGTGCGTCCTGCAAAGAGTGCCAGGTTGCAGAGCAGGTCCTCCGCTTCACAAACTCCGCGGCGAACTTTCAGGATGCGGCTTAAGAACCCCCCCCCAAAAAAAAAAGTAGAACATATTATTCTTTTTCCGGGCAGAATAGAGATGATCATAATATATTTTCGTTGGGGTTCTTAAGCAAATAGTAGAGTGCGGGCTATGAGGACTGATCATCCCCCAGAATCAACCCCATGAAGGGCCTTCATCAGGAGCTATAGGGTCTTATAGCCCATCCTGTCATGGCAGCATGCCCTAAGCCCTAAGCCCTAAGCCCTAGACCCCAAACCCTAAACCCTAAACCCTAAACCCTAAACCCTAAACCCTAAACCCTAAACCCTAAACCCTAAACCCTAAACCCTAAACCCATGGGCTGGCTCAGGCGCGCGAGCTCAGCATCTTGCTGCGCTCGCTTCAGCGCACGGAGATGCCAAAGCGAGCTCCCTGGTGGCTGGACGTTCGCGCATGCAGGACTGCAGCGCGTGCAGACGCAACGTGTCGAGAAGAGAGACATATTTGTAGGATAGCCATACAAGAACCCCACAATAATAACATATGTAATAGAAAGCACAATATGTAAAGTCTGCACTACAAATATGTTTCATAATAATGTTAGAGGCTTCTGGGCCAGCCAACACGGTGGCATGGAAACAGCCAACAGGAGGCGCTCGCAGCTCCCGTGGCAGCAGCGATGTCCTCAGACTCAGCACCGAGCCAGGGAAGCAAAGTTTGAGGGGGGAGATGGAAAGTTTGAGGGGGCCGCAGGGGAATTCAGACTCAGACCAGAAGTTCCAGAGATTCGCCCCCGCCTCACCTCCCCCCTGCCGGCCCATGTGCCAGCCTGCGAATTCAATTTGGAACATGATCCCCCCTCCTGGATCCCTAAACCCTAAACCCTAAACCCTAAACCCTAAACCCTAAACTCTAAATACTGGAATTTCAGAGGGCGACTGCCTGCCATCAAGACGTGTCAGTGGCATCCAAGGCTGCCGCTTGCCAAGGACGGGGCCTTGCTCTGCTAGCTGCCAGGATGGCCTTAAAATCCCCATCCTCAACCCCATAAAAGGGGCTTCATATGCCTTTATAGGGAGTTATAGGGTACTATGGCCCCGATGACTCCTTATGAAGGCCTTTTTTGGGGTTGACCATGGGGATTTGAAGGCCTAGCAGCCCCTGCTAGTTGAGTGGCGGTTTCCAGATGCAGTGTCAGAGCCAGGTGTTTGCGGAGACCGGTGCGGGGCACAGTGTATGGCTCGTGCGCAGTGCCTTTGTGATGTGGAGATTGCCGACTCTATGGCCCCCTTGGGAATTATCTATATATATATATATACATATGTATCTGTACATGAGTATTATTGTTATTACTGTTATTATTATGTTTATATTATCAAATATTAAGAAAAATAACTATTCTTATTGACAAAGGTTCTAAGGGGAGCATGGTACTCTCCAGTCATCTCCTGTCCTCAAAATTTCTCTTGCGCAAGATGGGCTTGACGACCTGGCCGTGCGGGCTTTCCTCTCGCGGCTGAGCTGGGTGTGCGACCCTCTGCATGGCCTCTGAATGCACAATGTTGCTCGAACTCTCTGCGTGTGTGTGTCTCTGTGTGTCTCGGTGTGTCTCCGCGTCGGTGTGTGTCTGTTCCTTGTTTCATTTGGGCGCTTTTTGCTTGCTAGGCTGGCCTCCATGCTCAAGCCCTAGAACCTGGTGACACCTCTTCCTGCGGCATCAGACGTGTCACACTCTTTGAGCTACATAGGTGGCTGCTTGAAAGTAGACAAAACCCTAAACCCTAAACCCTAAACCCTAAACCCTAAACCCTAAACCCTAAACCCTAAACCCTAAACCCTAAACCCTAAACCCTAAACCCTAAACCCTAAACCCTAAACCCTAAACCCAATCTATCAAGAGCTGTGAAGCAGCGGAAAGCCCTAGAGGCGACTCACACCAGCGGATGCCTTCATGAAGCTGGACTGTGCACAGCCAGGGCTACCGGGAACATCGCTGCGTTTAGGGTTTAGTTTGGGGTTTAGGGTTTAGGGTTTAGGGTTTAGGGTTTAGGGTTTAGGGTTTAGGGTTTAGGGTTTAGGGTTTAGGGTTTAGGGTTTAGGGTTTAGGGTTTAGGGTTTAGGGTTTAGGGTTTAGGGTTTAGGGCGAACTGCGAAGCCTGTTGCAAAGGGTTTAGGGTTTAGGGTTTAGGGTTTAGGGTTTAGGGTTTAGGGTTTAGGGTTTAGGGCCCCAAGCCTCGGGCCAGCTTGCAACCTGCAGCAGGACTCAGACCGCAGCGGATCCATTGATCAAAGGGAGCTGACAAAGGGCTTGGAGTGGCTTGGGTTGCGGAAGGCTCGGCAAGTCCGGGAGCCCTTGGTTCTCCCCCCTGCGGTTTAAGTATGAGCAGACGTTGCAGGCGGTTGCCAACAACACCTCCTGGGTCGAGCACATCTCCAAAATATTCAAGGCCGTGGTCCCCCAAAATGAACTGCCGGACAGCGGCCCTGCTCAGGTCATGGATGCCGATGGGGACGGCCTGATCTCCTTGAACGATTTCAAGGCCTTCTCATGTCAAAGCACATGAAAGTGAGTTTAGAGCAGCAGATCCGCCATTGCAGCCAAGGGCGCGCTGGAGCTGGATGAGCTAGATTGGGAGAGTGTGCCAGCTGCGCGCTTTCCTTGGGAATCCCTTTCAGCATCCTCGGGTGTCGTAATCTTCAAAAACTCGCTCCGTCTGAACACATGCCACTGGATCCTTGGTGCAGCTGCGACTTGTTGCGAAGCCAAGATCTGTGATGCGACAGGGAGGGCATGGAGCTCGGGGTTCACATGGTTCATGACCTTGCGTTTTTAACCCTGGGCAACTTCCAGTGCTGTAGGATGGATTTGCCACTCTCATCGCGACCCCCAATGCCGACAGTCGTGAAGCCGCCAGGCGCCCTCCCCCCCAGCTGCCGAGCATGCGATTGAAAAACCGTCAACTCAGGCACTACCCTTATAAACCCTAAACAGTCTGTGCCTCACCTGTCCGAGCGCGAGCCCATGAAGCCCAAACCCCCAAACCCTGAACCCAAGAGTTGAACAGCCCCAAGAACTCCAGAGCGCTGCCTCGTGTCGGGCGGGTTCACTGGTTTGCCTTGTTGTATAGAGCCCTGCTGCTCAAGAGGTTCCAGCTTGGGGTTGCTGTTTCCCTTCAGAGTCATCGGGGGATGCGGATGCGTGGGTTTTTCCTGGTGCTTCTTCGCTGCCAGCTGGGCTTGTGGCGGCTAGGAAGGTAGGGCAGAGGGAGGGAAGGAAGGGAGGAAGGAAGGGAGGAAGGAGTGTTTGTCAGCATGTGTCCGGATTGCGCATTGTTATCTTATTGCTTTTTGCATGTCGCCCGTCCTTGGTACTGTGCTCGCTTAAGAACAACCATCCAAATCTTTGACGTGACGCAGGCAAAGAGCCAGCAAAGCTGAGTGAGGGGGCCTGGCACCTAACAAGCTGTCGACTGCAACACTGCAAGACACCGTGCCCGTAAACCCTAAACTCCCTAAACCCTAAACCCCTAACCCCCTAAACCCTAAATCCCCAAACCAAGCTGCAGTAGCCAAAACACCCAGGACACCAGGTGGCTGCCCAGCGGCCGCTTCCGATTCAAATGGCAGCAGGGGTTGCCCAGACAGAGATGGCCTGTAGTCCTCCCCATGCTGTCTGCTCTTATCGGGCTTCTAAGTGGGTTATAAGTACAGTTCTATTTGGGTTGTACAGTTATAATTGGGTTATTAGTACCATGAACCTGTACGAAGAATCCATTGCAGCTTGCCCCCGGGCCGCAGCTCAGGCCTCATGGAGATTTTGCCAGGGTCTTGTGACGTCCACGCACTTGAGCTTGTCCCCTTCCGTTTGTCCATGGTGCATCGGCTGAAATTCAGGCAGAAGTCTGGAACACTCAGGGCCCAGCTCGCTTTCTGTGCACATCGACAGATACTGAAATCTGTAGAGACGTCAGGCACCTTGGCGGAGAGGAAGCTGTCGATATGGAAGCCCCTGAAGCTTCGCACCAAGGACGGGACGATTTAGATCACGGTTCCAGGGTCAATGTCCCATGGTCTGACCTGTCTTGCAGAACCCTGACATTCGAGGCGCTGGCCTTAGGACATCTTACTTCCATGTCTTGACAGAATTCCCGACTGGTCGCTGGATCACTGCGAGGTCCTCAAGTGAAGCAAAGAATTTGCGGCACCGTCACGTTGGCAAATACTCCTTGCTGGCTGCTGGCGTTTCCTATACAGGACTTGCCACAAGGCAGCAGTCACAGATCTCGGCAGGTCTTGGTGATATGGCTGTCGCTGGCGTTCGGAAGCCAGCACATGTGCGGGGCTTTGCTAATTTCCTGTCCTTGGAGCTTTGCATCATTCTGGTTTACAAGTCTGGTGGTCGACCCCCGCCCCGCCCCCCCCCCCCCCCCAGAAGTCAACTCCTCCCACCCTGGCCTGGAGGTCACCCCACCCCCCCGAATACCGCCCCCCCCCCCCCCCCCCCGCCGCATTACTCTTTTTTTAAGGCTACGTATGGGATTGGGGATTGAGAGCGTGTATAACCTTGCAAAGGGAAACCAGCAGAGTAGGAGAAGCGAAAGAGGCAAGCATGTCTAAAAAGAAAAGTCGAGCTTTCGTGGCCCCGCTCTCAAGTGTTTTGCACTCGGCCTCCAGTCCATTGTAGCATGACCCCCCAAAAAATCGAAAGACCCGAAGCAGATCCTGAAGAAGCAGCATTCCCAATGGAAAGACTATGAAGTGGCAGCCGGCTTCGGAAGATTCGGACGCAGACATATGCAGAGTGTACGACAGGCTGCGCAGCGATTGCATCCCGTAAGCTTCTTCTTAGTGGTAGAATAGGTAACCTTTAAGCCGTTTTGGGTATTGAAATACATGATCGCCCCATATACTCCCAATCGTTGACCTTTGGTTTCCTTAGAGTACTGGACAGCTGCGTGTTGCCTGTTGAAGATCGGCCTCAGTCTGTTGAGAGTCGGCTCGGAGCATGCGCAGCAGGATAAACAACAACGAGCATGATTGTTTGCTTTTAGGTTTCAGATTTTGGCGGTTCCCGTGAGCTATAAGTTGGTGCGTGTCATTACAGCATGATGACGGTGCTGTATCCTTTTCAGTGTTGCAAAATTCGTGTTGTTAAACAATGAGTAGTCTCCGAACAAGCCGAGGTTACCCTGCTCGAGGTTTTCGATCAAGAAGAAAGCGGTTGGTTTCATTCAGGGGTCGGCTTCCCAGCTTGCTGTCGGGACATCACTTGGGCTCCTTTGTAGCAGTACTTTCAGCTGCTGAGGACTACTCCGGTTTGGAAGCTTTTCTTGAGGCGGTTCTACCCCATCCGGCGGCTCATCCGACAACTTTTTTGAAGTGCAAAGTTTCGTCAGTGGGAAAGTCTACTGTCACTGTAGCCTGATGCGCAACCACATGTCTTCTTGAGCTTCTTCAGGTGAGATTCCGGAAGGCGCCCTCAAGCAACCGAAGCTACAACTGTCCTTCTGCAACGCGCGCCCCTTGCCACGAGGCATGGTCTCAAGTTGCTGGTGAAAGTCAGCTACACCTCTGGAGGCAGGCTCAACAGGGTTCCCTTTATATAGCCTTAAGTACTATATCCTCATTCTCGGAGACCCACAAAAGGGTACCCAAATTGTTTGCAAAAGCCCCTCATCGCTGCTGGTGGGCGCTCCAGATCGCCTTTTGTTAGGCCAATTCCGCCATCGACGGACTTCGTCGCCGTCGGCTTGGTGGCCACGGAGGTGGCCAAGAATCGAATTGATCTTGGTACGAGTTATAAGAGTAGGAACAGCAATATGAGGATTAACCATATGAGTGTTCACAAGAACAGTACCTTGTGCACATCTGTCCCCCTGGTTCTTTCAGGGCAAAGCAGCTCGTGGCCTCCAAGGCGTTTTCTGTTTTTTTTTCAGCTGCTTTTCTTCAGGTCGACGCGGAGCCAGAGGTGCCGTCAACTGCTCTCACCGGTATTCTTACTAGGGTTTGGGGTTTGGGGTTTAGGGTTTAGGGTTTAGGGTTTAGGGTTTAGGGTCTTATTTGGGTTTTCCTTTCAGGTGACGCGAGTCCACTGCATTCCACGGGATTGGGTACGAAAGGCGGGCTTCACATGACAGTCGAGTGTCATCAGCCCTCTCCAATGTGCAGGAGACGAGCCTTTGGTTCTGGACAGAGTGAGTTCTCAAACCCTAAACACTGAACCCTGAACCCTGAACCCTAAACCCTAAACCCTATACCCGAAACCCGAAACCCTAAACCCTAAACCCTAAACCCCAAACCCTAAACCCTAAACCCTAAACCCTAAACCCTAAACCCTAAACCCTAAACCCTAAACCCTAAACCCTCACCCCTAAACCCTAAACCCTAAACCCTAAACCCTAAACCCTAAACCCTAAACCCTAAACCCTAAACCCTAAACCCTAAACCCTAAACCCTAAACCCTAAACCCTAAACCGAACCAGGCCCCGGCGGAAGAGCTATGGACAGATGCTGGAACAGGCGGACAAGCAGCCAAGCTTTATGCAGACGTCTCAGCTTTCGCTCTGCAGCTCCCAAACCCAGACCTCTATGGGAGGATCCAAAAAGGGTTTAGGGTTTAGGGTTTACTATTGGTTCATTCTTAGGAACCCTTAAAGGGATCTACTTTTTGGATTTTCCCAAGGGGGTCTGGGAAGACAGACAGTTTCTTCGCGCCCTGGCTTGAGCTTTGCACTTCAGGTGTCATCATGTACGGAAGCTAAGCTCGGATCAGTTTTCGAGGCCCTGCAAATAACTGGCTGGTTCTTAGTAGGGAATGAGGGAATGAGGGGCCTTTATGAACCCTTTAAGGGACTGTATAGGAGTATAGGGTACTCATTCCCTCATTCCTTATACTAAGAACCAGGGGGAATATCAAGCAGGCCACCTCACAGATACTGGTTGTATTGCAGGTCGCGGCAGGCTCTTCTGCGCATGAAGCCCCGCAAATGCTTGGGATGCGAGAGTTCGCGCACCAGGCACCTGGAAGCATTGACAAGACGACAAGCACTCGACGTTTGCCGTGCACCCTCCTAAACCCTAAGCCCGATACCCTAAACCCGAAACCCTAAACCCTAAACTGCTTTGCCGCAGGTCTTTGTGGAGTTGCCGAAGTCTCTCAGACCATAGAAGTCCCCAGCATGGGCAGCTGGTGCTCCAAAGAGGTGTCAACCCTTGCTGCCTTTAGGGCTTAGGGCTTAGGGCTCAGGGCTGCAAACCTCACTTGAAGGTTCATGGCAGTTAATAACCCAATGATAACTGTACTTACAACCCACTTATAACCACATCAGGGCACTTAAGGGGCTTATAAGTGGGTCATCAGCCACAGTTACAATCGGGTTAAGTGCCATGAACCTCCACGCAAACTTCTCTGTGGATGTTTGGCCTGCAGGGCCGACAGCCAACTGGAGACCGACATCGATTCTCCGCCGATCGCTTTACGCATGAAGAAAAAAGTCGCGTCCTCGCTCGCACTGTAGCGGGGTTTAGGGTTGTTGGGGTTTTTTAGGGTTTTTTAGGGTCTTTCAGGGTTTTTTAGGGTTTTTTAGGGTTTTTTAGGTTTTTGTTAGGGTTTTTTGGGGTTTTTTAGGGTTTTTAGAGTTTAGGGTAGCCCACACATGACATGAGGCCCTTGGCTTGACGCTGTTCCTGACTGAGCTGCCGTCGCCAAGCTTCGACAACGCAACCCATCCATCCACGAAACCCATCGAAACCCCGAAGATTCCGTCGGAAAATGTTGGGGGGGGGGGACAAGTGCAATCTTGCGATAATCTTGCGATAGCCCTGAAAACTTGCTCAAATATCTACTCACATGTAGCCAAAGTGGTGCCCACATCTTACGACCGTGCGGTGCCCCCGCAGTTTTCCCGCACTTTCTGCCACCTATCTCGCCATGCAGAGACGTGTGGACCCCGAAGATGGCAGAGCCCACACCCTGGAGGAGATGATGCTCAAGTACAAGGGAACCTACACCCGAAGTGCTGCTTGCCCACGACTTTTTTAGGTGCTAGTGCCCCCCAAGTTTCCCAGATGAATATACCCTAAACCCCTAAACCCCCGAGTAGAAGACAGCCGAGGAGATTGAGAGCTACTTTAGCTCAGAGTGCCAGCTGGCAGACGATGCCAAACAACTCCCTGCAACGGCGGATCAGGCTTCTGGTGAGATCAAAGGTCTTCGGCAGTGGCTTCGCGAAGTTGGGTATGAGCACTGTATGGAGCGGGTGGCACACTGGTGTGATGAGAATGGGGCCGTGCTTTTGGAGGAGGTCCAGGAGAACTGGGAGGAAGTCGTTGGCGAATTGAAGCTGGAGAAGACAGCATCTCCATGTGTGAATCAAGGTGATGAAGCCACACTCCAAGTACCTGGTTTGTCTGAGTGGCTGGAAGAAGTTGAGCTGGAGGAATATTTGGAGGATGTTTTGGCACCTCGACTCAAGCCAGAACCTAAGCAGGCTGCGTGGAGAAGTCAAAAGGTTAGCATTGCATTCCGCCTTGCGCGCTCAAAACGTAAATTATTGTGTTGTGCCTGCATCTTCGATCGCTGTACAAAGGAATGGTGTCAAGAGCACGGCGTTCGAGCGCTGAAGGATGGCGATGCTGTAGTTTGCTTCCTCTTACTGCTATTGTGACTAAGATGATGAGTACAAAAATGTATATATGAGTTTTTCATTCTGCTAGATACGAGATATTTTATTTTTCGGCTATTACACCATCCCACATACTATAGCACACACACACATACATATATATATATATATATGATTCACATTATGTCATATTACATATTCTGTATTAGCGTTGCATTGCATCCCATTGGATTCCATTGCATTCCATTGCGTTCCATTGCGTTCCATTGCAGGCATTCCACTGCAGCCCATTGCATTGTATCGTGTTGTATCGGGTTGTATCTATGTATTTGCATCGATATACATATATACACACATATCATATTGTCCATCATTATTATATCTATGTAAATGTATGCATATATATATATATACTGTTCGTTGTATATGGTAGATTATCTACTCTCATCTTCTAACTTATGTTAACTACGTAGTTTTTTGTATTTTGTGGATGCATAATACATACTGTATGCTATATACCTTTCACATGTACTTGCATGATCTACCTATACATATATACGTATATATATATATATGTATAGAGAGAGAGAGAGAGAGAGAGAGAGAGAGAGAGACGCCTTCCATTGCTGTGGACTGCTATCATCTGCAGCGCAGAGACACTCTTTCTCCTGCAGGAGATCCAGGCGAAGTGGGAGGACATCCTGCAAGACTTAAAGCTGAAAACTGCCAAAGAGCAGTTACCTGGAAAGCGCGTTTCAGTTCGTGTGCTCAAGGGCAAGTGGCAGGGAAGCTACATGGCACAGGCCCGAGCGGGAAGCCACTGCAAGTCAAAGTTTTTTCTGGTCTTTAGCATCAACACCTCTAGCCTTATTCTGACTCATGCTGCACACTGCCCTTCTCACTGTGAGGTCCTGGATGTTACTGGAACAGGCATTCAGATTCGTCATTTGGAGGATGATTATGAGGAGACGTTACCACTGGATGCGCTTGGCGGAGGGAAGTATTTGCTGGAGCCTGTAGACTCAGACGATGAGGCCAGTCTACAACCCCTTTAGGGATTTATTTGTTTGTTTTTGTTTATATAAAACCCAAGAGGATATTAAAGATATTATTTTTGCTAAGGTTCTAAGGGGAGTAGAGGAGTCCCGGCTTCAAACAAGCTGGGCACCCAACTCATTTTGAACAGTGGTTTTGTTATCTCGTCCAAGAACTGGCCCCACCCTCTCCCTCCCAGCGGTTCGTGGTGGGTTCAGGGTGTTCAGCCCCTTCACCCCCCCCCCCCCCCCTCCCCCCCCACACCCTCCACCCCCCCCCCCCGCCCCCACCCCCCCCCCCCCCCTCCCTCTGCAGCGTCGAAGCTGATTCCGTCACTCTTTAAACGGTCCACTCGCTGTAAGATTTGATTTTGCAGAGGATGAGGCTAGATGAACTTAAGCGGCACGGTGAGGCCCGGCGGTTTAGGGTTTAGGGTTTAGGGTTTAGGGTTTAGGGTTTAGGGCTTAGGGTTTAGGGTTTAGGGTTCAAGCCGCCCCACAAGAAATTTTCTTCCCTGCAATTATGTCAAGCCCCAAAACAGTCACAGGGTGACTTACCTGGCAAAGTTGACTTAGTTCAGGAGGTCCTTCCTAGACCAGGTTGAACATTTTGGTGTAGGCTTTCTCCTCTCCCTGGGTTTAGGGTTGGGGTTAGACTAAACCCTAAACCCTAAACCCTAAACCCCTAATTAAGGGATTTGGTTTGAACTGAGGGTGCATGGCTTGCCCATTTCTTGTTTGGGCTGCGGATTTCGGGTGTCGGGGCTCATTTCCTTCGGCACATCTAAATTTGGGGGTCTATGAAAAAAACAAAGGATCCCTAATAAAGTCCTCAAACGGTAGGCGTCCCTTTATAATAAGGACCCCAATAAGGTGCCCCTTTTTGCGGAAACCCCCAGATAGGCCCAGAAGTTGCGGGCACGCTCAATTTGGGCTCCCGTCCCCAATGCCTGAGGAGGCCACGGGTGACGTGAGGGAGCTGCTCAGGACAGGCCAGCTGCGTGTGGATGCCACAGGCAGGAGGTCAACACGTGTGCTGAAGAACAGGTTGTCTTAAAGCAGATACAATCCAGCAGATACGCAGCAACGTGGCACCCTAAACCTAAACCCTAAACCCTAAAAAGGGCCCAAGGGTGCATGCTTCTCTGCCAAGGTGCAGGTTTGCAGCTTCGCTGGGTCAAGCTCGGGTATGCTGTGGACAAGGCGCCTCACTTTGCAGTTTCCGAAGCACGGCCGGAGCCAGATTTTCCAGGGATTTGCCTTGACTCATGGGATCTGCGGAGGCCATTAAAGTTAAAAGATCCTGCACTGGTGCGGAAGGTACCAAGGGGAGCAAGTAGCCTGACAAACCGCGAAGTTTGGCGGTATGCTGGGTCATCAGCATGAAGTGGCTTAACGCATGCATAGGGGAATGATCAGCGGTGTCATTCTGAAGATTGTGTCGTTTACCGTCAGTGCACAGTACACATATTAGAATGCCTGGTGCAGTGACGGGCAAACTCCGACGTACTACTTTGCGAATGTTCAAACCTTTCGTGAAAGGATTTATGGGTGGTCCTGAGGGGAGGGGTGCTCATGGGGGGTAGGTATTTAGAGAAGGAGGGACCCTAGGCTCACAAGGCCACATAGCACACATGAGCGCTCACAGCAAAAGCTCTGGATACTGCGGGTTTAGGGTTTAGGGCTTAGGGTTTAGGGTTTAGGGTTTAGGGTTTAACTGCAGGTTGAAAGGCAGCCTGGGCAAAAGGATCTACGCCAAGGAGACGTCGTCCTGGCCGTTGGTGGCTCACCTCTGACTGGCCTGGACGAAGACACCGTGGAGGTTAGGATACTTCAAGTTCTAAACTCTAAATCCTAAACTCTAAACCCTAAAACCCTAAACACAGAATCCGGGTCGGAAAACATCGTTAAAAGCAGCTCTGGTGTGGAGACCATGACTCGGCTTCGTGTGTCCCCCCGGTCAGGAGCGCTTCAGCACCGCTTTCGGCGATGGAGCGAGCTTGGTGGTTGGATGCCTGAGCGAACTGATGAAGCATCCGATAGAACAGGTGGCAGCAGAGGTGAAGCGGCTTGCTTGAGACGTGAGGCACACTCGCAGAAAATGAGAAATGCCCTCTGGTTGTTTCATGTAGCAAGTCTACGTAATAAAGCGGTTGGCCTGGCAATCAATAAATTGAAGGAAGCTCAGAAAAGCAGCCGCTGTAGGAACCCGTGACCATTTCCACAGGAAACAGGCATTAAAGGTTCAAGCGGCATCATGGGCCCGAGGCTTCTTCATCTCTTCGAAAGGAATCGTTTTTATCGGATTTTCAAGATTGCTGGAGAGACTCTGCCAACATGTTGCACCACACAATGGCGTTGCACGTGTTCATTGCGCATTGTTGGGCATGTGATCTTGCCCACGCGTTCTTGTGTCGCATAATGGTTCACGCTTTGCCACGGTGTGTTGCGGCAGATTTTGTTGTGGTACTTTGTCGGACGCGTTTGCACCATTTTGCACCGGACATCTCTTGGGCAGTCGCCCCTCAAAAGTCTCAAAGGCCTGGGAGCGTGTCGATGTAAGCTGATTGATGCTTATAGTACGTGCGAGTGGGACCTGAAAAGAACACAGATCTGGGTAGTTCTCTAAAGAATTCAGGGTCCCTTTTTGGGTCCTCATTGTAAGGGTGCCGTACGATTTCTAGGAGGCCCAAAAAAGGCGCAACCTAATTTAGAGAGCCGCATTCATAAGCTGAAAACAGCCAGGGCCCAGAAAACACCAGCCCCTAGAGGTAAAAGGTAGGAGGGCTTAGGGTTTCGGGTGTAGGGAGTGTAGGGTTTGGGGTTTGGGGTTTAAGGTTGAGAGTTTAGGGTTTAGGGTTTAGGGTTTAGGGTTGTTTTTTGGAAGCCTCACACCGGGGTCAAACACACAGAACTACAGCTTGAAGAATGAGAGAACTGCACCGTTGAAGGAGGCAAAAGCTTCCCAAGAAACACCGCGATCAAGCCTCATAATCCTCGAGAAGGGTTTAGGGTTTAGGGGTGAGGGTTGGGGTCTAGGGTGCTAGGGAACACAAGGGGTTACCCGCGTAACATTTGGGAGACCATAATCAGGAACTACCACCCGCAGCACCATGCAGCCAACCGTTGTTTGTCCTGCTGACAGAGTTCCCTGAAGTAAGACAGGTCCCGTCGACTTGAATCCTTGTCAACCTTGCTATGTCCCGACGTTGTATAGCCTTAAGAAAAACCTGCGCTGCATGCTGCTATGCACCTTGATGCAGTAAAGCGCACAAGCCATTGCTTAAACGCTGCAATGTCGCAAGGGACTGAAAACTAGCTGCTCACAGAAGATTAACTCTTGGGACGAAACAACGCGTGCCGCAGATTGTTTGCATTTTCACGTCTGCCGCGCTTTCCAGTACAATTCGGATCATCAGCACTGCCTTGCTCAAGAGCATCCGGCAGTTTCAACATGCGCCGTCCTTAGCTTTGCCTGCTACACCATGCTTCGCACGCGCATGAAGCTGCCAGCTCTCACTGCAGGCCGATTAAAGGCCTTGCAGACGTTGCAAAGGACGGAGAAGCAGGACGCATTCCTGCGATTCATCATGCAAACCCCCTAAACCCTAAACCCTAAACCGTTTGCCTGCAGCTCTGCTAGGCGCAAAGGACCAGAGTCCGTTTGGCCCGGGCGGGATATATCACGAAAAGCAAGTCGGCTCCCTGTGCGCTTGACCCCCAGCATTGCCATGAGGATGGCCGGTGACCATGTAGAGCTAGTACCGATCTACAGCACAAAAGTGTTGAATCCTGATTCGGAGTTGACGCACTACGGGTTATCCGAATGGTTAGAAGCAGAAATTCACCATCGAAACCCAAGAAATCCCATGTATCGGCATCATTCCTTCAGCGGCAAGCAAGGTTCATATGGGTGGTTGTCAAAATTATGGTCCCTTTTGGCATTCCTCTTATCATGCGGCACCTAATATGTATTTAGGGTACCTCAAAAGGGATTATGATTTTGACAACTACCCATATGTCTTGCACACTGAAGATGGCCGACACGGCCCATCCCCACATCTAGGGAGGCATAATTCTGGCTTTGCTGACAACTTGTGCCCCTCAGAAACTTACTTAGCCAATAGTTGAACTGTAAAATTTTGGTTTCCCTTGGTTATTGGAGAAGTAAGGAAAGCACCCAGCGGATGTAGACTTGCTTGAACAAGCTGTGCTTTGCAACATCTGCACGAAATCGAAAGCTCAAGGGACCTTTTTCTCCTGAGGCCATTCACTGCGTCAACAATATGCTCCAGGTGGCCTACCCGAATTGCAAAAAAGTGACCAAAAGCTGCATCAGAATATCCCAGCGGCCCTGGTCCTGCCTAGGGTCCGCTGTATGAAGACCATGATTTCCGATCCGTTGCAAGAGATGCTCGTCTGCACTTTGTGCTCTTTACCCGGAGCTTACTTCTCCAACAGCTGAACTTTGCATTTTTTGGGCTTCCTTGTTCAACAGGAATAATAAAGTTTAACCTCTTTTTTCCCCTGGTTATTGGAGAAGTAAGTGAGGGCACCGTCACCACGTGCTTGCGCGGCTCAGACCTTGGACGAGCGGGAACGAAGCTTGATGAAGGGTGCCGATTTGGATTTTGGCCCGGTCCTGAGGTTCTTGTTTGTTGGATCTTGCAAGGTGAGGAAACCCTAAACCCTAAAACCTAAACCCTAAACCCGTGAAGGTGAGGGCACTGTAGCAGACCACCATGGCAAGGCAATGCTCGGTATGATGGTTTCTACAACGTGCAGGTGGTGCAGGCACCAAGAGTTCCTGGCCATGCCCCCGCAAGGGAAATGATTTCTCAGAAGCTCTTGGTGTTGAGAAAGGCCTAAATGTTCTCTGATCCTCAGCACGCTTCACTCCTGGTCACTTGAAAAAGTCTTCACCCGAAGGTTCAGCTGTCAGCGGCAGACGCTCATGATCATAGGGTCCTTAAGGGAGGAGGGTTCGAGGGGGGTGTGAACGCCCCTCCCTTCAGGACCCTATAACATGACCTTGCACGCGTTAAGGGCCGGAGAAGTGCCATGCGCTCTGAGTACTTGAAGGGTCATGGGTAGTTCTAAGTAGGGTTTAAGTACCCCACATCAGGTTATAACCAGTTATTGTAGATACTCTACGTATGACATCTTACAACCCCGCTAAACCCTCAACCCTAAATCCTACACTTGCTCGCGCCAGGAGGTGTTAAGGCGGGCCGGCTACGAGATGACCTCGGTCTCGGCCGAGGCCTGCTTGTAACAACCACATGCTGCAGCTATGTTTTTCTATACTAGACTATTAGACATATATTTACACGTGTGTGTATATATATGTACATAAATGGGTACATAAATAAACATATATATATATATATACATATATTGTTCTCTTCTATACATAAACTGTACACATGCTTAAAGTCAGCAAAAACTTCAGACGTTTGGCATGTGGAGGCTGCGAAGGACGGCGTCGCGAGAGCCAAGGAGAAGGCGTTCATCTGCAACAAGTCAGGTCCCTGGAGCGTCGAAATCACGGCGGTGGCATCTTTGCAACTTTTGCCCATGGACTAATGATCCATGATGCCCCACGCCCTAGACCCTAGACCCACCTGGTTGATTCCTGAGGCAGGAACATTGGTTTTCCGTACGAAGGCTTGGCCAGGAGTGGTCCGGGTCTAATCTCAACTCGTGCAAGAATGCCTGTGCTTGTGCTGCATGAATGTCACCTGTTTAATGCACTTCCAAGTCACAAGCCATCTGAAATGGCCTCAAGTCTAGGGTTTGTGGTTTAGGGCTCATCTGGGCTGCTTTTGCTGATTGGGGATGTTGCTGGCAACGAAATTACATGAAGCGATGTGTGGCGTCAGCAGTGGTCACCTAGAACATGAGAGCTGCAGAGATCAACGACCACAGCTATGCCAACTGCAAGTAGCATCAGCATGGTCACTCTATGTCGTTCACCAACATGAGATGAAGACGCGATTTCCCGGCTGGATTGGGAGAGAACTTATCTTGAGGCTCGTTTGCGGAAGAAGCTGGTGCGAGCAAACGGTTTCTTCACAGACTTGGTACTCAGGTATTTGTTGCAAAGAGTCCTGAGGTTCGACCTCAACAGTTGCATGTCGGTGCCCAAACACTACACCGACAGTGATTTGGAATGGCTCATCAAGGAAGCAGCCGGAGCCCAAGCAAGAGTATACAAGGTCATCATGTCTGGCCACGACATGGGCTGCCAACCGGCTGGGAAAAAGGTCAGCGATGGTTACAGCGTCTTCCGCGTTCGAGGTGACTTCCCAAAGCCACAGGCTCAGAATACTCTACTGCCCACCTCCCATCTGCCAGATATTGCCAGATGCTGTGAGCATTTGATAGCATTTGGAAATCAAGGTGCGCCTTGGAAGACGACCACAAGAAGCTAGTCGAAGCGAAAGAAGGCGCGGCGCCGAACTGCACATCCGGTTCAGACAGGCTTGTCTTGCTAGGGGCCCAAAGAAGCCACATAAGCATAAGGATCCTACTATTGGGGTATAAGGGCCCCTATATGGGGGGATTCCGAGAACCCTGTTTGTGGGATCCTTGTGTTTGTGTGGGTTTTTGGGCCCCTATTTGCAGCAAACATGTGTCGTATAAGGGTCTGCGGCAGAACCCCCAACCGAATCGACAAACTTTCGCCATGCAGCAAATACTACCGCTGGTGGCGTGCCAAGTTGTGATGCAGTACACTTTGTCACAAACAAAGGACCAGTAGGCCGGTGAGCTTTTACTCGATTTGTAAGTCCGTAGCCCAGACGCTTGTTGTGCAAAAAGCCCGGCATGCGCGAACAACACAACACCCGCATGCATGACCCAGCACCCCTTGACAGTACTAGCTATTACAGGGAGGGAAAACATGGCTGCTATTAATGCCATCAAAGCTGTTAAGGGAATGCTGCACCGAGAGGGAAGGAAGTCAGAAAGTCATGGGGCGGGGAGGTGAGGGGAAGGTTGAAGAATAAGGTCGCTTGCGACCGCGCAACCAAAACAGAGGGTATCGGCCATTGCTTGAAGGAGCCCTGAACCCTTAACCCTAAACCCTAAGCCCAGCGTGTGATAAACTCATTAGGCTGTGGTGGACCACGTACCGGCTACAGCCTGTATGCCGGTTCTGGGCAAACTTTGACAAGTCCGGGCGTCCAGCCCCAAGATCTGACTTGAATCTTGGAGTCACATCCAAATGTGCCAGGCTTAGGGTTTAGGGTTTAAGGTTTAGGGTTTAGGGTTTAGGGTTTAGGGTTTAGGGTTTAGGGTTAGCCTGATGTGAGGCAAAAGCTGCTGCTGCCCCGCCATCGGATGCTGCCGCGCTGCGAGCGGCCCGGGCCACAGTCAATGACTACATCCCCCCTTGTTTATAGAGAACCCAGGATATTAAAAATATTATGTTTAATGAAGGTTCTAAGGGGAGTAATTATAGAACCCAAGAGGAGATTAAACATAGTATTTTTTAATTAAGGTTCTAAGGGGAGTATAGATGAAATTCTCCGGCATCAAGTTCAGTGCCCGCTTTGCTGCGCTCAAGGCCAGACTTGCTCGACTGGGAGGAGGCGAGTGAAAGAAAAGTCCATCTCACGCCTCTGTTCTGAGAGTCCCTAAACCCCAAACCCCAAACCCCAAACCCCAAACCCCAAACCCCAAACCCTAAACCCTAAACCCTAAACCCCAAACCCTAAACCCTAAACCCTAAACGAGTCGGATGGGCGTTGCAAGGAGGCGCTGCGCCTTCCCCGCCGCCTCCTGCATGATCTCTGCAAGATGACATGAGACATGCTCAGACAACAAGTCTGTCCTTGAAAGGAGAATTAGTCTAATCAGTTGCAAAAGTTGCCCTGTGACGTCGCAAGTGTCAGCCTTGGACCACATCTTGACGTGGAAGATCTGACATGCTCGCTCCATCATCTGAAAAGGGTTTAGGGTTTAGGGTGTTCACATGTTTTATCTTTCGCCTGCAAAACGGTATGACATCTTGCCCATTGATTGTGCGGGTCACGGGCCAGCATATCGGCATATATAGAAGCTCCTGCAGAGAAGGGGCACCCTTCTGGAAGATGAGTTCGCACAAGCGACCGTCTTTCCAGTACTTGGGCTTCACACCGAAACTAGAACTTGCTTGCTTGACTCATCTCTCACTGAATGCATTTGTTGGAATTGTATGTTTCGGGAGTGTCTTTTGGTACGCCATGTTGCTCCTGATGCTCTGCTCGCCCATGAGAGCATGGGTTAGCAATGCAGCCGTTCTTGATGATCATGGCACAAAAGACTCCGTTCTGCATCTTGCTAAGCCGGTGGAGGATCACTCGATGCCGTTTGGCAGGATGAGTAGCACAGTTTCCCGCCCCAGCTCGGATCAAGGTCACTTCCTCCCAGTGAGCTCGAAGCTGCAGTCATGGCGATCCCTTGTGCTTCACGAGCACGGCATAGATCTCGGGCCTTGCTGGTTGCATTGGCGCTAGCATGCCTTGTCGCGGTACAATGCGCCTGCGGCGCCAGTGCGTTTGTGGCGCCATACCACAGCCAAGCGCAAGCGCCATTGCGCAGCCGTGTGCGCATGGCCACTGCTACAGGCTTCAAAGAGGATGAGGACGAAGATCAGAGCGGCAAGCAGAGCGATGACTACCCAGAGTTGTCTGCCGAAGCCTTGGGTCGCCAGCCCGGGACGTGTGACCCATTTGACCCAAAGAGTGCGGAGTACTGTTCACCTACTGAACCGGACTCCTCTCCACTCGTATCACGGCGTACCCTCAAGCTCGCGGCGCTCTTCGTGCTGTGGTATGCGCTCAACATTGGCTACAACATCGGGAACAAGCTTGTCCTGACCGCACTTCCAACTCCCTGGTCCTCCGCAACTTGGGAGCTCTTCTTTGGGCTCCTTACTTCACAGCTGAACTTTATAGATTTTTTATTGGTTTCCTTATTTAGTAGGGAATAATGGGTTTATAGGGTTTAGGGTTTAGGGTTTAGGGTTTTAGGGTTTTAGGGGTTTAGGGTTTTAGGGTTTAGGGTTTAGGGTTCAGGGGTCCCTTGGTTATTGGAGAAGTAAGGCTCCCCTACGTCGGATTCCTTTGGCTGACGGGTCTTCGGAAGAGGCCCGTGCTCTCCTGGAGTGGGTTGAAGCTCCTCATCCCCCCGGCCTTCTTCCTTGCATGCACCTTACTGTTGGTGAGTAGGGGAATGAGGGAATGAGGTACCCTATGTCCATTGTTTATACCCTTTAAGGGATTACTTAACGGGTATATGTATATATTATATATAGGGATATATCCTATATCCCTATATATAAGGCACGCACGTCTTCGGCGTCATCTCCTTTGGGGCTGGCGCCATCTCCTTTACGCACGTGTGCAAGGCCACGGAACCGGTGTGGATTCTTAGCATGTCGATTGGAAAGGGCAGTTTCTGTCCCTAAACCCTAAGCCCTAAACCGCTTAAGACTTTGCAGCTCCAAGATTTCCTGGTCGAACTTGGCATCTTCGAGCATGCGTGGGCTGTTTGGCTAGCTTCATGACATTGCCTTTCAATGCCTGCTTGAACAAACGAGGACCGCGCTGATATCAGCGATCATCTTTCGTGAATTCCTGCCAATGTCCGTCTACTTGAGCCTCATTCCGATGCTTGGCGGTGGATAAGAAGCATAAACGATTCTCGCTGAGCTGAGAGAACATGCGGGCTTCTTGCTTGAACACGACTGATTACTTTGGACAACTCAGGATCATCTTTGGTGTGTCGTTGGCCTCCGCGCATGAGCTCTCATTCACATGGATCAGCTTCACAGCAGCAATGAGACATGCCCAACTGTTCAGCCTCCAGAGTGACTTACATCCACGCACCTCGCAGATTTCACCTCTGGAACAGGAGCAGCAGACAGATGTTAGAGGATTGCATGAGTCTTTGCTTGTTTTTTCAAGCGCTGCACAATGGCAAAATCCGGTCGATCCACCGGAGTGGAAACCGAATCTTGACATGAAAAAGCCCGAGCAGGCCCTCACAGTCCGGGCACATCGCGCATGAGATGCGGCAACACACCTGTCACGTATTGTAAACTGAAAAGGCTCCCGCTGCTGACGCGGTTCTGAACTCAAACATCGCTCTCTACATCCGAAAAAACGTGAACAATGAATGACATCAAACGGCACACACACACACACACCCGCCTACTCGCCAACTCCTACTCACTCAGACTCCTACTCTATGGGAAGCATTGGGCAGTTTTTCTTGCACTATCGGAACATTGGGAGGCATTTGCTGCCATCGTAGCGAGCATACTTTGCAAGCACTTCCTAAACCCTGAACCCTAGACGCTAGACCCTAAACCCTACTAGCCTCCGAAGGTTTCATTGCCGCCACTGGCAGTGCTGTGACCTCTGCCAGCAAAGCCCTTTGTCTCTGGCAGAAGAGGGTTTCAAGAAACAGAAGTGGGTTTGCAAAAGCGATTTCTAAACACAGAAGAGGGTCCCTAAACCCCAAACCCCAAACCCCAAACCCTAAACCCTAAACCCTAAACCCTAAACCCTAAACCCTAAACCCATTGTCTTCACGGGTACACTGAACGCGAAGCCATGAGCGGCAAACCGAGAGACCGCACATGGCTCCAAAGAGCCTGAGTAGGATCTCATGGTCACGTCTCAAGATTCTGGCCCCTTTTCGGAAGGGGTGCCCTAATATGTACATATATACACATATACACACATAAATAAGTAAATAAATAAATAAATATATATATATATATATACATATATACGTGTATAGAGGTATTTACATGCATATTCATATTTGTTTAGTTTTTCCTAATTTTGGGGGCCGCCTAAGAAATTTCGTGACTCCCCCCCCCCCCCCCCCAAAAAAAAAAAAAAAAGTAAATAAAAAAGAAAGTTCCATCATGTAGAGAGGTGACCTCATATGGGCAGGGCAATGAATTCTCCTCTTTCCCGCGTCAAACAGCTCAGGCCTAAACCCTGACCCCTAAACCCTAAAACCCCAAACTCCAGCTCAGGCCATCCTTGGAAAGAAGGTCCTGGATGGCAAGTCGTTGGGGAGGAACCTCACGCCCGGCAACATGTTTCAGGGGCAGGTTAGAACAGAAATTTCATTCTTTACTGACCCCTGAGAACTCCCCTACTATACAATCCTTATAAAGCCAGTAAGGATTTTTCATAATCCCCTGTATAATCCTCATCAAGCCCTTGGAAATTTAGCTTTTTTGTAGGGCCCCAAACCCTAAACCCCAAACCCCAAACCCCAAACCCTAAACCCTAGACCCCAAACCCCAAACCCTAAACCCTAAACCCTAAATCCCAAACCCTAAACCCTAAACCCCAAACCCCAAACCCTAAACCCCAAACCCTAAACCCTAAACCCCACCTCTCAGGTTTGCTGTCCTGACCATCCTCGGGTGCTTCATGATCCTCCCGGCCTCCATGATTCTTACTTCTCCAAGAGCTGAACTTGATAAACTTTTAAAAATTTTTGGGTTTCCTTAATTTAGTAGGAAGAGTTTTTGAAATTAACTTTTTTTTGCTCCCTTGAACTTGATAACCTTTTTGGGTTTCCTTATTTAGTAGGAAGAATTTAAGGTTATCCTGTTTTTCCCTTGAACTTTACAAACTTTTTGGGCTTCCTTATGTAGTAGGGAGAATTTAAAGGTTAACCCATTTTTTCGCTTGGAGAAGTGTAAGGATTACTTTAGGGTTTAGGGCTTAGGGTTTAGGGAAGTTTAACTTTTTCCCCTTCGGCTCTTGGAGAAGCGTAAGGATTACTTTTAGGGTTTAGGGCTTAGGGAAGTTTAACTTTTTCCCCTTGGCTATTGGAGAAGTATAAGGATTACTTTTAGGGTTTAGGGTTTAGGGAAGTTTAACTTTTTCCCCTTTGGCTATTGGAGAAGCGTAAGCTAAACCCTAAACCCTAAACCCTAAACCCTAAACCCTAAACCCTAAACCCTAAACCCTAAACCCTATAGGGAAGTTTAACTTTTTCCCCTTTGGCTCTCGGAGAAGCGTAAGGATTATTGAGGGCCCCTCCAAGTTCACGGCAGCCTGGGCTCATGCGCGCGCAGCGGGCTACACGGCCCAGCACCTCTGGCTGATGCTCTCCATCTCTGGCTTCCTCTACTACACCTACAATGAGGTGAAGTAGGGTACATATGTGCAAAAAAGGAACATAAATCCTAAGCCATAAGCCCTAAACCCTAAACTTACCCTAAACCCTAAACCTGTTTCAGGTGGCTTTTCTGGCCTTGAAGGAGGTCGCCCCGGTCACACATGCTGTGACCAACACGGTGAAGCGCGTCGTCATCATCATCGCCTCAGTCATTGTGTTCCTTACTTCGCCTTTAGTTGAACTTCAAACTTTTTGGGCTTCCGTATTTCGTAGGAATCTTAAAGTTCAACCTTTTTTCCCCTTGGTCATTGGAGAAGTAACCCGAAACCCTAAACCCTAAACCCTAAAAGTTTAACCTTTTTTTCCCCTTGGTTCTTGGGGAAGTAAGGTTCAGAACGCCCATTACGCCACTCGGAGCCCTCGGTTCCAGCCTGGCCATCATCGGGGCCCTCTTGTACTCGCTTGCAAAGAACCAGAAGAAATGAAGGCCCTTTGTCCCCTAGGGTTTAGGGTTTAGGGTTTAGGGTTTAGGGTTTAGGGTTTAGGTTTTAGGGTTTAGGGTTTAGGGTTTTGCTGTAATAGGGCGTAGATGTTGTGAAGGTTAGGATGCAGCAGAGGCTCGACTGCCTCGTCAGCTGCGAAGAGCAGCTCTGGCCCGATTGTGGAGGGCCATCTAATACTTTTCTCCCACCCCACGCTGTCCGAGGCGGCAAAACCACCCAAACCTATTCCTTTTAGGGTTTAGGCCTAAACTCATGACAATCGCTTACTTCCAAAAAACCTTTCCGTCACCGATGGCCACTTTCAGCCAAGGGGGAGAGGGGGCGTAGGGTTTACGGTTTAGGGTCTTTGTCTTGACCGGTATGCTGTGCCCAGACTCCAGGAGTTCTGCAACCCGAGTGGGATCACATGAGCAGAGACTGTGGCTATGGTTGTACATAGTGCTGGCCACAGCTGGGCATTGCAGATTCCCCTATTGACCACGAATTGCCATGGGAGAGAACTCAAAGAAACTCCTCCTACCTGTCTCATCGTTTCTGACCCACAAGCCACTGATGAACGCATCCTTTGATGCTTGTAAGATGCGCTTCTTCCCTCCAAGTTTTCCACGCAAACGCTGTTTAGGCGAATGTTTCCCAATTCCGTTTTGGCTGAGCTCATGGGCATATAAGGTAACATGCAAGTAACATGCGTAATGAAGAGGGGCCCGTGCTTGCCTGAATGGATGAGGGCGTTTCGAGGGTCACCCTCTCACATGGTTCCACTATGATCGAGCGCAGGTCATGACAGTGGAAGCAGGCGCCTGTGATTTCGCTGCAGCGCAAAAAATGACCTTCAGCAGCGATGATGCAGTAGCGGCTGTCAGCAGGAACTCGCGGATGAACTGAACGATCCAGTACATGTAAGACTCCGCAATTTCACTTGAAAGGCCAGCGGTGGTGCGGTGGATTTCTGATAGGCGCGGCACACGAGAACAAAGGGCATGGAGCCACATACATTATGCAGACAGGGCAAAAATTTGGCTCCAATGTGGGATAGATCAACGGCTAGTTTCTTTCGAGCTCCTGAACCAAGTACCTACTGTGTTGGCCGCCTCTCGCACGAGGGCTGTCGTTTTGGATTTCATTACTGCAGTGTCGACTCTCTTGTAAGTCTTCGCACCCCCACTTCGGGAACGCACTTGGGTCGCACCCTAGGCCCTAAGCCCTCAACCCTAAACCCTAAACCCCAAACCCGAAACCCGAAACCCGAGACCCTAAACAGAGTGAAAAGCCGAGTTGCGGGCGCGGGCCTGCTGGAGCTAGAGCCTGCCATGCTTCCTCCTGTCTCACAGATGCTGCTAGCGAAGCGCTTGCAGCTGAGCTTTGATTTTTGCATACCGGCCGCGGTCCGAGAGGGCTTAGGGTTTAGGGGTTTAGGGGTTTAGGGGTTTAGGGTTCAGGGTTTAGGCGTTTAGGAGTTTTGGGTTTAGGGTTTAGGGTTTATATAGGGTTTAAGGCGAGTTGGGCGTCCTAGCCAGGTTCGAAGGGGTTCGGGTCCAGGTGGGCAACCTTCGTCGAGATGTTCTTGTTTGTATTTGTGTATGAAGCAGGGTTTATATTACTGTTTTTGGTGAGTGTACATATATATATATAAGGTTCCTTTTTAATGTTGGTGAGTTTATATACCTGGTGTCCTTTTGGGGGTACAAGAAATTCATACCCTACTTCATATCATTCTGTTATTGCATGATTTTGTAAGTATACTATTTTATATTCCTATACTCTGTATGATTAAAAGCTATTATATTGTTATGTTATTGTATTATTCCTGGGGTAGCGCTTCACTTCACTTTCCAAACCGGAAGCCACGGTTTCCCATCTAGGAAGACAATCGTTCCAATTATCTTTTTTGATCGGGGGTTCGTTGCAAGTGCTATTTTGTGATTTGCTGCATGTTTCCATAGGACCCCCTAAACCCTAAAACCCTAAAACCACTACCAGGACCCCCTTCTGGCGAAGCCCTGGACTGTGACTAGTTGCCGGCGCTTCTTTTTGGGCTTGGGGCCTCATTTAGGGTTTAGGCGGGCTTGGAGACGTTTTTAGTTTCATTGCACCTCCCCTGGTTGTGTTTTTTTGTTCTGTTTTTTTGTCAAATGTAAGGCACGAAAGAAAGGAAGGAAGGCAGGAAGGCAGGAACACAGGAAAGAAAGAAACAAAGAAAGAAAGGAAGGAAGCAAGAGGAAGAAAAAAAAAGGAAACAAAGAAAGAAAGGCAGGAATAGAAAGAAATACTGCAAGAAAGAAAGAAACACAGGCAGGAATAGAAAGAAAGATAGAAAGAAATACAGAAAGAAAGAAAGGCAGGAATAGAAAGAAAGACAGAACATCAAGAAAGAAAGAAAGAAAGAAAGGCAGGACTAGAAAGAAAGACAGAAAGAAAGAAAGACAACAAATGAAGAAAGAGAGAAAGCAAAAAGGAAAGGCAGGAATGGAGGAAGAAATAACGGAATAAAGAAAAACACAAGAAAGAAAGAGAGAAACAACGACAGCAAGAAAGCAAGAAAGAAAAAAACAAAGGAAGGAACAGAGGAATAAAGGAAAGAAAGAAATACAGCAAGACAGAATGATAAAAGAAATAAAGAAATAAAGGAAGGAAGTGAGGCAGAAAGAAAGGAACAAAGAAAGAAAGAACGAGAGAAAGAAATAAAGAGAGCAAGAAAGCAAGAAATACCGAAAAACACGAACGAAATACATAAAACAAAAAAAGAAAGAAAGGAAGAACGGAAGGATGGAAGGAGTTTAGGGTTCCGCTCGCTTCGCACGTTCTTGGTTGACCCTAAAGACCCTACGCCTTAGACCATAAACCCTAGACCCCCGAAACCCGTATGTGGAACCTGTGAGGATACAACAAACGCCCTTCGGCACAGCGGCCGGGCAGTAGTAAACCCGAAGGATTTAGGTTTGTAATTAGGGTTTAGGGTTTGAGTGTTTGAGGTAAGGGATTACGGCTCTAGCCGGGGTCCGATGTTGTTTTTGCCTAGCTGTTAGATCAAACAAATCCCATTTGAAAACTATTGTGTTTGCAAATGGGGGGGGGGGGCTGCGCCCCCCCCAATCCCCCCGCTTTTTTATAAGCCGCCCAAGCGTGCTTCTGGTTCATACGAATCCCTTGCAAAACTCATCTTGCGGGATTGTGTCTGCAAATGGGGGGGGGGGGAATTCCCGGTGTGCAAGCGTGCTTTTAGTCTTTAGTTCAACGAACCGCTCCCAAAACTCATTTTGCGAACATCGCTTTGCAAATGGGGGGGGGGGAGTGGGGGGCCCCAAACCCCCCCGGCTTTTTGAAGGCGCTCAAGCTTGCTTTAAGACAATAAGAATCCCGTCCAAACCCATCATGCGAGCACCATGTTTGCATTATGTTTTTTTTGGGGGGGCGGGGTTGCTACCCCAAGGGTCATTAGATGTGGTCAGGTTCCGGACATGCGGTACTGCTGAGGAGCCTGCGGAAGCTGAAAACCAGCAAAATTCACCAAAAAAACCAGGAAAATACACAGAAAAGAATTCCAACCAGAGGAGGAGGATAGGCAGAACCAGAGGGCATGTTCAGAAAACCAAGAGAAAAGCAAGGAAAAACAAAACAAATCACAAAAAAAAACAGAAAATTGACAAAAAAATCCTCGCTCCCTTCTAACCCCCAGGGTACGTACCTAAGAATCCCATGGGAACCTGCAGAAGTCGAATCCTGTAAGAGGTTTGTATAAACAGGAACGACAGAAGAGTAAGGTACTTGGAGGTTCATGGGTAGGTTTTTACTTAGTGGGGTGATAAGTAGGGTAACTATATGTATAACTGGTTCTAGCCTTATTTGGGGTCCTTAATAACCCTACTTATAACTACCCATGAACCTTCAAGTACCCCCATGCCCAAACCCTAAACCCAAAGCCAAGGTCGGTCCATGTGCGGACTTGGAGACAACGCCAGTGTCAGAGCGTGTAGGCAGGTCGTGGCCGTCGCGTGTCAGTACGTGTGCCTCTGAATCTCCCTAACCCTCAACTCGCAACTGCAATCTCCCTAAACCCTAAACCCTCAACTTTTCCCCTTCTGCCGGACATTACACACACTCAAGTTGGACACTTTGCATCCCTGCAGTGTGGTTGCGAGGCTGCTAATCAGGTGGCAAAAGAAGCATTGTGAGCTTGGGACAGGAAGCCTGGCCCTAAACCCTAAACCCTTTGGCTGCTGCCTGCCACCGCGTACCTGGCCGTTGCGTAGGTTGGCTGCTGCATGGCTGGTGTTCACAGAGGCGCAGTGCCTCACTGCCGCACCGACGGAGGTGTGTTGAAGGCCTGGAGTTTCCCTAATCTAACAATGCGATAATAGAATCATACAACAGAAAATATGACATATTCACTTCTTAATATAATCATATATTTGTATGTTTCTTGAGTAACTGAGTAATAAGAGAAAATTGTTTTAAATTATATTATGATATATATATATACATATACATATGTATATATATATATGAGCCCGGAACCTTTAGGGTTTATTTAGCATAGAGTTTTTCTTTTCGCTTTAAATACGGAATATAAACAATTTAGTATGTAAGTGTATATTTATACTTTTGTAGGAACCATAAGTTCTACTTGAGAGTCAACTTCGCCTTGTGTCTGTGGATACCATTACTGTTGATGCTTGTGTTTTAGACAAGTCGCACATCTAACTTATTTATCCGTTTGGATGCAACAAAACGATCAACCCTCCACACCGGTGTTGCATATCTTAAATGCACTTGTTTTCTGCAGCTTTCTTTGTTTTCATCTGCGGCTTGTTCACTTATTAGTGTTTGTGATCTTTATAATGCTGATGCGATGGCAATAGTATGCTTACTGGTGTTCCTAGCATTGGAAGCACAACTAACATTATGAACATATTATGACTTATGTGAGTACTATTGGTAATGTTCGCAATATAAGTACTAGTCCTAGCGCGAGCTGTCAATAT